AACTTTTTTGTGCATACATTTAATCGTTTTATTATTTTTTTATAGTAGGTACTTCAATTACAATATTTGGTATTAAATCTGCAATTTAAGACCTATGTCAACGTGATAATTTCAGAAATCATGTACACGTTCTGATATTTTGCAAAACAATGATAAAAGTCTTCGTGCCGTTATCAGCGGTTTGGAACACTGAGTGGGAAATTTATTTATCCGGAAACGGAGTGTTTCTTTTGTGTATTGGATCCGTTATCGTCAAGTTGGTGCAATCACGCAAGGGTAAGTGATGTCGATTTTACTTACATGTGGTCATCAAATGGTATTGACATAGTTGTATTGAAGGGCTTATCGGTATGCGAGCTGCCATAAAGGGCACACGTGACCTAAATTTGAAGCACCAAAGCACGATCTAACAGACGTTCTTTAACTTGATTACGTCCACAAGCTCCTGTTTCTTTTATCCGACGACAACACCGGTTTTACTTTTTTGGTCGATAGTGTCATTTTGCGTCCATATAGATTATTGGATGTTTTAAACATGGACACGACTTCGGCAAATTGATTTCAGCCTCGGACTAATTGCGAAAGGAAAAATGTGTCGCCGGAAAGAGACACCCATTTAGTTGAATTCATTTTATTTTAATTTTATCACGCGCTCGTAAATTCATTCTAATTGCACATACGTTTCAAATAATTACAAGAATAAAGCACGCACCACTGCCATAAAAACGAATTAAAAATTACAAAAGTCGATAATAGGAATTATTAGATTTTCGCGGTTTTTGGTGTTGTTCTCTAATTTGATATTTAACGCATTAAAAATTCCACACGAATAAATGAATTATGAATAAACACGCAGATTAATACTTTAATGTTTAAATTTGTGTTTGGACACCGACAATAGACACGGTTTTACATTGTCTAGTTCGAATTTCGTTCAATTAATTTTATTTTACCCACGCACCCAGCAAATTCTGAGCTAGATTAAATCCTACTCATAAAATTATGTTTAATTAATATGCCGCAATTGTTAAGTCTGCAATAAACTTTAATTACCTTCAAACGCTTCAAGCATTACTTGAACTAGATATCTAAACCAATTTTAGGTGCACTAAACTTAAGCCTCTCGAATTAATTCATCAGTGGTATTTTCCTCTCATTTTCCTATAAGCAACTAAACTATCAAGCATTATTCTCTCAGTGGTGCCGATTTTATAAAATTTAACTCGAGTAATCACTGATTTTTTTCTGTCATTTAATATTAAAAAAATATTAAACAAATATATGTTTGCGTTTTATTTTTAAATGTTTATTAAACTTAAGGTATAATTTGCAATGAAACAACAAAATTTTTTGCAAATTTTTTTATTTTGATTTACAATAAATTTAAAAAAATAAATTTAGTTTTTGTTACGCTTGTGTTAATTAATTCATCTGATAAAAATTGCAATAAAATAAAAATAAGGTTTCAATTATGAAAAATAATTATTATTTTCTTTAATCTTAAGCTCTTTTAAATAATAAAATAATACAATTAAAGTATTTAAATTTTGAACTATTCTTTTTACTTTTCTGGTCTTTTTCGATTGTTCTCTTTGATGTGTCAAACAAAGGCAAAAGCCAATGCGAACGTCATTTGCAGTTTAAACGTGATATCTCAAATACAGCCCAAGGCTTTCGGCAACTCTTTTTGATAAACTATCGATTATTCAATTTGTGTTTATGATACAGTTTTAAATTTTGTCTTTGTCTTTTGCTAAACGAAGCGCAAACTTGGAGAACTACCCAACACACTCGAGTAGTTCCGTCAAAAGTGTAAAAAATTGTTGTGTATTCGAATAGTGCAGCATTGTCTTTCCAAGTCTGCATTTTTCATTGGCTCTTCCGTAATGAAAAATGATGTGTAGAAGCAGAATAATTTGTTATCTGTTTCGATATCGCAGCAGAGTTTTTAGAATCTGGCAGGAATTTCGTTCCGCTTGAAAGTCGCTTTTATGCAGTACCATTAGTTTAAATTTGCGAAATATTCTCGTATGAATAGAGTAGAATGGCAAAGTAGGGTAAGTCTCCACAGTGAATATAACACACAGATATCTCCATCAATCAACATCACTCCGGTTGTTTCCCGGGCCAAGAGCGCCGACGACATTATGGCCTACCGACTTATACAAGCTAAACTGGCAGCGTGTTCTTCTTGATTATCTCCCGAGTCAAAAGTCGCTGGAGAGTTTCGGTTTATGGAAACAAACTTCTTAGACAGGTCGCTTGCACGCTTTATCTTCATACGGAACTTTGCATACCTATTTAGCTAAAAATTTATCGCCGACGATATAATTTAGCCGAGATCGAAACTTCATTTTAAACCGGTACTAAATCTACCCTCGATAATAGATCCTCTATTACGACACAGATGTAGCGAGATACGACCTGAATGCCTGTTTATTTGATTCCGTTAACGGGATGTCAGATAGCCAAAAGGCGATATCATTAATACACTTCATGCAAACAACTACATATTTGCATTCAAAAGCACTCATGATAATTTATACATGAAGCAATCAAAATTTTCAAGCTTTTTCTAATCACGCAAACAATCAATTTAAATTCCTCTTTTTGCTTGCTTTTGAACACTTTTTGCCCAAACCGACCCGATTATTCACTAAACCACTCTAGCCTCCCTTAGATTACCCATTCTGTATAATCTTAGCCTAAGCATCAAACTTTGCCAAAAATAATTACTTATTCAAATCAACTCGCCTCCATTTTATTATTTTTCTGTGTTTAGTTGACTTTATTTTTATGTTTGCAAGATCGTTTTTCTTTGAATGTATGATAATGTATCATAAAGAAATACATTTTTATCCGCAAACGTTACAAATGTGACTACTTTTATGTCTAAATGAGTACTTTTCAGACAAGAAGTAATAATTCTATTTTTGCGCCTAAGCGTTTTTACTTTTACCATGCTTCAGTAATATCTAGAGAGGTACCTTAAAGGTCATCAGCATTTGAAATTTGCACTACTAACTGCACTAGTTGAGTTAATAATTATTATCGTAAACACAAATTCCAATACAGTTGCGTGACGTTTTTTTTTTTATAAACGTTGTTATAATTTCATTAGTTGAAAAGAATTCTGATTATTTTACCAATTATAGTATTGCTCTTTACTCTTGATCTGAATACGTTTGCAGATAAAATAGTATATTATTTGAAGTAAAAGTGGCTCAGTTAAATTATTTGCCTCACTGCGTTCGGAAAAAATAAACGTTTAGCTTTGCTACATAAACTATCACTTTTACTCCTAATAACATCATTTACTATTAAAATCAAGTTTGTAGTCTAGGATTTGTTTTTTTTGTCGTCTGGGAGAAAGTGGATTTATTTTGAGCTGCGAAATTTTTTTGTCATACAATTTTTATATCTCGAGATTTTTCTACTGCTATAAATTTCATTCGCTATAAATTTGTCAGTAGGGTTTAGTTGTGTAACACAGATTTTCTTTTACTCAGAAATCAAATGTTTGAGCTATTTCACTTCAAAAAACACAATTATTGACAGTGTGGCAATGAAAAAGCCTTGAGATATACAGGTGCGCCAGAACTCGCGCCCCAGAGAAAATTTTCAAGTAAGGTAAGATACCAGGAACATGAAAAAAATGTTTAAAAAATTCTTTCTGTTAAAAAATTTTTACTTTTATTTTTTGACATATGACATTTTTATGTCTATTTAATGATGCTGATGATCTTGTATATGTTTTTTTACAATTATTTAGTAAAGGTACAAAAATTTTGCCAATGAAAGCCACAAATAACATTAAACAGAGTTACAATTTAGGACACAACTTCCTTGTTTCCTCTTTTAATAGCCTATAGCAAAAAACTTGTAAAATTATTTTCCCGACAGAAATAAATAGAGTCAAAGTGCAAACTTTAAACCCTCATAACTTTTTTTAACATTTTTTCCATGTTCCTGGTATGTTACCTTATATAGCATTTTTCTCTGGGGCGCGCGTTCCGGCGCACCCTGTATGTACAGTTTTAACAATTAAAACAATGTTCTGTTAGAACAACTGATTTGATTTCCTACTTTAAGTTGTTTTAAGTTGTCACATTTCTAAATTTGCATTTTTATAGATTTCCACTACATTTAAAAACATAAAAATTTAAATTTTGTTTCAATTCTCAAATATATTCTCAAGAAGTTACGATTACGTTTACTTACTTTATTTTTACATTTTTACGTGCACGTCTTTAAAGAAAAGTATTGTAGTCCTTACGTTTACGCATTTACCTGCTTTTACATTACTTACATAATGTTCGTAAGTTTATAATTTTAATAATATTTTTACGTTGTGTTTCTTACGCTATTCTAAGTTTTTTTTTCAAATTTTCAAAATATTAAACAATGGTTTTGAAAGTGCTTGATAATATTGTTATTAACATTGTTTGTGGCTAGATCTGTGTTGCTTTAGTTTTGAATTTTGTCGTAAGTCGAGGTTTCCCAGCAAAATGGCAATTAAGTAACTTTGTCGTAAAATCCAACCTCATAAGACTTATTGACGATCAATTCCACATTAAAATTTTGTTGCGAGTTATTAAATCCTGTTATAAAACTTGATTAGAAAATTGTGAAAATGAAAGAACGAATATTTTTTGAGTTTGCTTTGCAATTTCGAGAAGGACAAAAGTGGTAAAGGTTTGAATAGGGGCTCTTAGTCGTAATCGGACATTTCCCACATGTCTTAAGCGGCCTTACATTCGCATTCCAGACCGTATCGATAACTTTGTGCACTGAAGAACAAATTTAAATCCGGGCTTTTCGCAAATTATCCGATCAAATGTAGGCGTTAAGATGGTGATTTGATGTCTGCAGCAGCAAACTCACAATCTAAATAAATGCAAGACAAATATTGTTGCAATCGCCGTGGGTTATTCATAAAGTTTACGATGAAGGAAGCTTTAAATTCGCGTTTGATTCAAATAATAATATAAAACTTTGTGTTGCAATATGAAATTTTATTCTTTGACCTGTTGGAGTCTTAAACACAAAGCAAATTAAATTTTATAAATTTTCTTCGTTAGAAAATCACTCGAGGAGCGAAATCGTGTCCAGCAATCCGCAGTCTCCACATTCGGGATACAAAGTGGAACAGTCGACTCCAAACTCTCCCGCTTTCTTTGCCTCCAAATAAACCGGATCTAGATCAGAAATTGCATTCCCGTAGTCTGGTCTGTAATTGAAACCTATTTGTAACAAACTTGAAGTTTACTTGCAGCCTGTCGATAACACTTAGATCTTACGTTAGGGCTATGTGCAGGAGATGGCCGTACAATCCATTTGCTTCATGGTGCAAGCTGTGTAGGGCATTCTCGCAAATGCTCCGCAAAAGACAAGCACGTCCGCTGAAACCGTTCCTGAAAAAATATCCGTGTTGACTTTACATTAGTAGTGGTGGACGAGTCTAATGCCACCACAAAATTAACTCAGATAAGCTGGTTTTAGGGGACTATCAACAGTTTAATGGTGACCCTAAATTATTTTACTTGGTATTAAATTTAATGGATGCGGGAATTAGGATACTTAATGGCATAAACCGGCTCTAATTATCACAACTCCGATCAAAAAATGTAAACAAACAGGTCACAAACCTATCAAATTTATTCGAAAAAAAATCAAACTCATCCTGTGGTGTTTACTCGGTGTGAATTAATCTAACTAGAAACCAAACATTTGCCAAGTCGCTATAAAGGCAGTTTAATTAAAAATTAACAAACTAAACCAAATCCTAGATAAATTCCCGATTTAATTTTAATAACAAATCAATTGAAGTGCGCAATTCAACTATAAGTCTCCTCAAAACAAACTTGGTAATTCGACTTGACTAACTTCTAAATCTTGAACTTACCTGTTTAAAATATCCTCAATAGCCGAGTAAAATAAAGCACGGTCGTTTCTATCATCACGTTTTATTCTTGATCTACCGATTATTGGTGGATAAATTCTCGTGTTATTAGGTGTTTGAGGTTCGGCATATTGAAATTGAAAATTCCATCCCCAGGCCATGGACTGTTTTAAACCTAATTTAACCGGAGTCGCAAAACCCAATACCAACTAGAAATAAATTAATTTTCAATTATGTGGAATTATTGCAACCGCTCAGGAATTATTCACTTGTCATAGAAATTACCCCGAAATTTAGAGATATTGACAATTCCGTGCTGATTTATTATAAATTTGAATTTGAAATGTTTGTATAAACTCAAATCTGGTTAATGTCGACATTAATGTGGTATTTATTTGACTCACCTTAAACGTGCCTCCATTTGGAAAATACAAGAAGCGTTTTTGGCGATAGAGAGTTTTCTCCAAAGAGCACAAATGGATTAAAACTAAGAAAACTAAAAATTTTGCTACGAAACAATTTCGGTTACTTTGTCGAGACATTAATTAAATTTCAACTCTTACACATGATTGCTGCAGTAACAAAATGAAAAGTAACCACAGGTAGAGGTCACAAACTGTATCCTCTTCCAACAAAAGATAAATATTGGTTCTTTTGATTAGTTGGTCGGTTTGTTGAAAAGTGTGCAAATATTTGATATAAAATCTGAATTGTCATCAGAATTAAAAAATTTGCAAGTGGGTTTTTCAAGTTTTGATTTGTTTTATTCTCGATGAGTAAAAATCCACAAATCAAATTAAACCCAGAAAGACATTAATCGCTTTGTGAAATCCCCCGAATCAAGCTGTCAAAAGTATAAATGTCACTAAAAGTGTCCCGTTGCGTTTTTTTCTCGCTACTTCTCACCCTCCTAATCGATCGTTCCTCATCAACAAGTCACTCAACGGAAAAAGCCCATTCTTCGCCGCCTCCGGTAACAAACTCCAGCAATACAAGCGCAAACATATGGTTGGTTGACGCTCTCAAAGATATAGCTTATTACTTACGAGCGCACAAATTCAATGAATATGACAGGAGATACGAACCCGATGCGAAACTAGCTCGCAGAGAGTATTACCGGGGATTCCCTCGACCCCCTTTGCGATCGTTGCACTGGGAGGTGCACAAGTACTGCGAGCAGTCTCTGATCGAATGCGTGGACTATTTGCGGAAAAGGGTGAGGAAAGCCGGGATGACGAGGAGTGACGATACCACTGTTGTTATACAAGAACAACAATGGGGAGAGAATAACACGCAACAAATTGAAATTGTTGATAAAGAGTGCAGGAAAATGAAGCAAGTGGATGATATACAAGCCAATCCGTTTGAAGGTAAGAAAGCGGTGGAAAAAGAACTCCAAGTGCTTGTAAATGGAGAAAGTTTCAAGTTTCAGAGAGAGAGTCAGAGTTTTATTCAAATAAAAAAAGTTATTTACCAATCTTACAGATAAACAATGTGTCTAATAGTGATATTATGAGTTATTTATTATTGTAGAAAAATGAGAAAATAAGATTTGCAGTTTTTACTTTTTACTATGACAATTTTTAACGTAGACCTTAAATTTTTGTGAAATATCCTTTGAAAAAGCTTTTGGTCTATTATTATTATTAAATTTTTACATATAAAAATTAATTAGAGGTAAAAAGTATACAGTATGTCTCCGGAGTGAGTTTACAAAAGGAATTTTTTGCTTCTCCTGAAACGAGCAAATCTGTAATGACAACTTCATTATTCTGATTCAGTAAAAAAAAAACTTAATTTCTTTCTTGGTTTTAGACTTTTTTCTCTACTTTTTAAGTTCTATCACATTGGCTGTTTTCTTTATTTGACAACTAAGTGTCACATTGACAATTAATTTCTTAATTGAATAATAATAGTTCTTGTTAAAAATGACTTTTACCATCTGAAATTAAAAAAAAATTAAATGTGACATTAAATCTAAAACAAGAATAAATACGGATGCCACTACCAATTTAAACACAACCAGTAGTTTTGAAGTAAACAATAACTTAAACCCAAATGATTCTGAAGGTAATGATCTGAACGATATTATTTTGAACAATTCGACTTCCAACAATTTTCGTTACCAACAGAATTTTAAATTTGAAATTGAGAAGGAATTTAAACAAGCTGTTCTTCTTTATTAAAATACAAACCCAACTGAAAGACCTGACATTCCCAAACTAAAATATACTATAAAATTTACAGCAATTGTCGAAATTATCATATACTTCCAAAATATCTAACAACCTGCCTTTCATTCATAACTCTTCATACACTAATTTATTGTGCAGCAGTAGCTGCTATTAGAATTAATATTTTTAAAAAATTTTATAGACATTCTAAAACACAAACATAAATCATACACCAGAATGCGAAATTAGACTTACTGAAAAAATAAATTCAATTAGGAAAGATTTAGGTCAAATTACACAATACCTGAAAGGTATAAATACACAACACATAAACCAATGCATAGAGCGAATTATTAGGAAAAACAGGATACACCGCAACATTTATCCAGAGTATAATTCAACACTTTTACAAATCAAAGATACTTTAATGCAAAAATTGTCTCTTTATTCTAAAAGATTGAAGACATATTAACAATCTCACCTTAGGAAAATACAAAAATCACAATTTTTAAACAATGAAAATTTTTTTATCGTAATTTAAATAATGAGGAATCATTAAACAATGGTCTCCCCAAACAAGATAATTTAACCCAAATTTGGAAAAACATTTGGTTTGAGAAAAAAGATTTTAACATGCCATCATCTGGGTTAAATCTTATTAATACAGAAGTTTCAACAAAAAATGACATGCCATCTTTTCAGATTAGAAATGAAATTTTAATAAAAATGATAAATAAATCACATAATTGGAAATCTCCAGGAAATGACAAAATTCACAATTTTGGTTAAAAAAGTTTACTTGTGTATGTACATTCATTACTTTTGTGGCATCTTAATAATTTTATTATAAATTCACAACATTTTCCAGAGTCTTAACCCATGGGATCACTTATTTAAAACCAAAAGATTCAGATACTAAAAATCTATCTAAATATAGACTCATTACGTATCTTTCAACAATTGATAAGATAATGACATCTTGCATATATGAACTAATCTATAATCACTGTCTAGAAAACAATATAATTAATGAGGAACAAAAAGGATGTATTAAAGGATCGAAAACAATAGTATTTTTTTCCAATAGATTGATTTTTTTAAGTTTTTGATTCCAAGTGATTTATTTCTTACTTTTATCTCTATTAGGCCAAATGTTAAATTTGTTTTCAAACTCTTAGATGTAAAGCTGTGTAAATTTTAATTTAACAACTGTGGCCACCAATTTTTTTCTTGATCGAGAATAATGCCTTATCTAGCTTTCCGCCAAATGCTCCAAACCTGTCAGATCGCTTGCTAACCCGCGAGTTTGAACATGTCTAGCCCCTTGATCCACCTAAAGTAGTTCCGGTGTTAGCCGCTTAATTCAATAAAGCTCTCGTCAGGTCCTCTGGAACGCTTTCAGTGGCGTGTCACTGCAAGTTATTACATGTGCTGGTACACAATGAAGTCGGAGCCGACATTGAGCCACCTCTCGGACAAATGCGATAATTTCGCCGATTGTTTGGATCCTGAGTTTGGCCCGAATAACCGGGACGATCGCGCCAATGATGCAATTCCTTACTCCTGCGCTTTCTACAGTTTCTGTCCGGATCCCTGCTGTCCCATCAAGCACCTGACTCGACCGGAAAACTGCTGGGATACGCCAGAAAACCCCTGCTTTGAAGCTAATCCCCCGGGTCAGCGAGAATGTGTCGTAGATCGCTCCCGGAATACCGACTTCAGGTATAACTAACAATATGCGGGCGTGATTCACAATTATCTCGCTTTTGAATCAGATGAGGGTGGTGGAAATTAGGGAAAAGCGTCAACGAGTTGTATTTCACGCCGGAAAAAATTACACTAATCTAATTTAGCGGCCGGCAACATTTTTATGTAATTTTACACATCGATCGATATTTTGCAGTGACCTGATTTTGAACAGATGGAATGTGAGTTGCAAATGTCGCGAAAAAGGTTTAGAGTGGAGCTCTTTCTACGGAATATGTGTAGATATCGACGAGTGTGCCACAGGAGCACATGCTTGTAACCCTGAAAAGGAAACTTGCTTAAACTTGCTAGGGTCCTTCAAATGTGTTTGTAAGTGGGGTCACATTTTTAATAAAAAGAGCAAAACTTGTGAGCCAAGTAAAGCACTAACTCATTTAATGCTACGCAAACAAGAAGAAGAGAAAAAAGAAACACAAGAAACGCTTTGGTTAAAATTTTTACGACTATTTGATGCAAAATCGTCAACTCGACCAATGTTTGTTAAAACTAATTTAATTATCTTGTTCTGTATTTGTAATTATTTTAATAAACTACTAGTTTCCTGATTGTCGAATAATAATCGGCATAAAACAAGCATCAAACTAAGTCCATATTCTGTTTAACAGTATTTCCTAATTGTTATTTTCATAGCAAACATGTGCACCTATTATACATGATGTTATTATGTTTGGAACAAGTGCAAGAGACACCTTGCCGTCGAGTAATAATTATTACAAACAGAAATAGCAGGACATCAACTATTTTAATTGCAGAAAAGCACTAAATAATTCTCTTTGCAATGGCTTATTTGAACAGAGCAAAATTAAACTGAAACGTTTTTGTTCAAAGTCCTAAATAAATTCTGATTAATTCCATAGTTATTTTGCAGCAAAACGAATAAATGCTAGAGATGCGGATAATTTTGTGTATAAACATATTTAAAATGTTAACAGTTTTTAATTAGCTATTGTGGTATAAGCGTTTCAAGCGAAATTCGAAGATAAAGTTAAATATTTTTCGCAGTTTAGGTATTCAGTATTCAAAATTGACAAGATTTTGTGTAAAATCAAGAATCAAAAATCCTTATTGTTCTTTATTGCTAAATAATAGGTTTCAAGTACTCAACAAGAATAATTAAGAAAACATTAAAAATTGTAACGGAATCTTAAAACAAAAGTAAAGTTTCGATCAATACTGAATTTTCAGAGAAAATTATCTTGGGGTTTTCTGAAGTTCCTGACAGAAAAGCGTACAAATACTGAAACCCTGATGATTACAGCAGTAATAATAAAAATCTGACAACAACTCCAAATTTATCGTCGTTAATGCATTTTACCTGTGTTAAAAACACCAAATTATAATAAGAAACTGAAAAAATATTACTAGCAGTGCTTGTAAAGCAAGCTTCAAACCGAAATGAAGTAAAGAAATATAAAAACTCTTGAAACTCCTGAAAAACTTGTCTTTTTGTCAATTGTCTATTAAAATAAATATGTTTCAACTGAAATGGAAAAAATGTTCAAAAAGCAGAGGTAAACTTGAAAAACCTCTGAACAGGTTTATTTGGAGGACCATAATTTTTATTTAGAATGAAATTGAATCGTGTTGTGTTTACAGAAGAGTCGTAATGCCGATTCATTTTCAGATACTAGAAAAACTCTTATCGAGTTGGGCTGAAAAGGTTGTTTCAGTCACAAATCTTGCTTAACTTTTCACATTTGGGCGAATGCAGAATTAGGGAAATGAAAATGTTTAAATTATTTGCTTTTGAACTCGTATCCATCAATTGTTTGCGATGAATCCCTGGTTATTGATGGGATGTTTTCTAGCCAAAATTTTTAATCGATACACATAAATCTGCGGAATTACCGAAAATATATAAGACAATAAATCAGTCTGTGTGGGACGTCCAGGAGTAATTAGAGATCGATAAGCCGTAAATCTTGACGGCAATATTACCGTAGGTTATGCAGCAAGGCATGCCCTTTCGTCATGGTCGAGTGACCCTGATGCGCATCTCTCGGCCACCAGATTGAGGCGACTGGAATTGAGCCAGCAGATAAAGAATTAGAGAGGCTGTCCCTAAAACCACGGCGATTCAGGTAACGGTAACTGCCACTAAAGTGTCTCATCTGCAATTCCCTCTGATAAATCACCTGGCGATAAATTTAACCCGTCGTTCCATCTACCTTAATGAACTACTTTACACACCACTGCTACCACAGAGATGGTCGAATATGCCAGACGGCGGAACCGTTCAGACGAATCGATCACAACAATTCTTCGGAGATATTGCATTCGTATTAATTTCATAAGAGACATACACGATTTTGAAGAGATCAAACGATCATTTGCATAAGTACACACATACAAGATTGGATTACAATTCCCTGTCAAGTTCAAGCCATGTCGACAACGACTATGAACCTGTACTAGATTTCGGATTAACAAGAGCGCTTGTCGGTTGTAAAGACAAGCTTTCCAAACTTATGAAACCAATTGATTAAAAGTCTTTAATTATAAATGCACAGCAAGTATTTAGTATCCTAAATCCTGAAGTTTACAAAATACTATACACTACAACAATTAAAGGAACAAAAATATTTCCTCAATTTTTTGGTGATTTTTGAAAGACTATCTCATTGAAGAATAGGCGTATCCAGATTAAAAAAAAAACATATTGAAGCATTAAGCTTCTAGTTTAGACATTTTTTTCAAACATTTTTTCTGTGCTACCGTTATCACTTAATCCTAAGAAATAACATGAGAAAAAAAATAGTTTTTGGTCCACAGACTTTAGAAATTTTTTTAGTTAAATCATTAGTCGGAGAGCCAAATAGCTTGTTCATTGAACTTTAATATGGTTTTTTATATTCTCTTTACGACAATTTGTCGCTGAGATATTTGACGTTAAATGAAAAAGGATATTTTGAAAGCAAATTCTAAAAAATTTCAAATTTGATTTTTTTTAACTAATCGGAATTTGTTTATAAATTTAAAAAAATATCAAAACATTTGTTTGATTTTTTTTCAAAAGACAGTATTGTTTTTGATTTTTTTAGTTTTTCAAAAAAAATTACAGTTTTTTCAAATTTAACTAATTTTTTTTTAACTTTTTTTAACTAAGTAACTAATTCAAAATTGTAAAAATATTGAAAAAAAAAACTGTTTCTCACATTTTGATGAAGATTAGACAAAGTTCAGAAACAAAATGTAGAATTGTTCCTGTGAAATTTTGATCATTCAGTCCGAGAAAACCGTTTGATGGAACGATGGGGTTACTACATTAAGTAGTAAAGATATTAAGAAACATTAGTCTTCCCATCAAAATTTGTGAAAATGCGGTAGATTTACTAAAACAACGCAAAAACTACTCTTTCCTCTTTTCTTTAAATCAATGTTGTTTTTGACCCTACACTTATATTCTGTGTACGTCTATTGGTTGCTAAGATATCAATGATCAAAGACAAAAAATAGTAATTTATTCTACAAGTTTGAGTGTAAATCGGACGCTTTATTTCACCGAGCGGATTTTTAAACCATGAGTGTAACGAGCTTGCTTTAAAAATCTGTTAAAAATATTCTGACGTTTCGTTTGGAAAATGCCAAACACCTGTCAAAACTTCCTTACACGGGAGAAAAGTCGCAAATTTTGACAGTGTCAAAGAATAAATCTTTTTCTTTACGTCAATTTGTTACTGAGATATTTGACGTTAAATGAAAAAAGCATATTTAAGTTAAATTAACAGACTATCAGGTTAATGCATTGATCTAACTAAAAAAATTAATCCCCAAGCCCGTGAAAAGAATACCAACAAAATTTACATTTTAGAAACTTCAAATTGTTTTTTTTAATCTAGATACGACCATTTCAAAAATCACCAAAAATTTTGGAAATATTTTTGTTCCCTTAATTTTTTGGTGTAGTGTATAATACAAACAAAACGTCCAAATACATACAGAATGCGCCAGAACTCGCGCCCCAGAGAAATGCTATAAAAGGTAAGATACCAGGAACATGGAAAAAATGTTAAAAAAATTTTATCCATAAAAATTTCGAAGTTATGAGTGTTTAAAGTTTGCATTATAACCCTATTTATTTCTGTTGGAAAAATAAATTTTCAAAGTTTTTGTGTTATATGATATTAAAAGAGGAAACAAGGAAGATGTATCCTAAAGTGTAACTCTGTTCAATGTTATTTGTGGCTTTTATTGGCAAAATTTTTGTCCCGTTACAAAATAATTGTAAAAAAACATATACAAATCTTCAGTATCATTAAAAAGATAAAAAAATGTCAAATGTCAAAAAATAAATATCAAAATTTTTTGACATATAGAATTTTAGAAACATTTTTTTCATGTTCTTGGTATCTTACCTTACTTGAAAATTTTCTCTGGGGCGCGAGTTCTGGCGCACCCTGTATTTAAAATTGTCATTCCCTGAAAAATTCTAAAATCGACAGAAATATGTTTTTTGGTCTTGAAGCTAGAGATATTTACCCTTCACTAAGTAGTTTTTGGTAGAATTCATGCCCATGCCCAAAACTTGTGTTGATCGAGTTTTAGATAATTTTTGCATTTTTTATATACACTTTTCAAAAAACTGAAGAATTTTTAATTATTATTAAGGATTTTTAAGGATTAAGGAGTTTTATGAAAGCTGTACTTTGAAATGTGTGGTTATTGAATAAAACACGTTTGTAAACCCTTGTATAAAAATTTATTTTGTTCCGAAAATGGATAAAAAATTGCAAATATTTTATAGAAAATTTAAATAACGTGTCAATTGTGTGAATAAATAAATTCCCGCGCACAATTTAACAATAACATGATTAAACTTTGATATAAAAGCTCAAATTACTTTTCCCACAACAAAAACCAATTGGCAGTTTGAATCGAAGCTCAATTTGCGCATTACAAACTTAAAAATACCAGCCAGTCGTTTTGATTGCACTTAAATTCCAATTAAAATTTGTACTTTGTCTCTCGAAAGGTATTTTAATATAGCGTGTGGTCCAGGCCCGTATTGAGGGAGTAATTCCTATACATTCCCGTCTTGGCAAGCGCTTTACTGAATTGTTGATTATTCGGAAAAAAAGACGTGGGTACTGTGTGTATGGTTGGCGGGTATCTGTAAATTAAAAATGAATGCGAAATTGGACCTTTTTTTGTTATTTATTTACCTCCCGTAATCGCTCGAAGTGGTCCTATAAAAAGGATGTTCTGGCGGTCTCCGCTGAATCCCATATCCATAAAACCAAGAAGGATATTCAAATCTTTTCGGTAGTTCGCAAGTACGGTAAAAGTCCGAGGTTTTGAGGACGGCCGTGTGGCCGCCTCCCGAATTCTCGCAATCCATCTTGGAAAAGCTTTAAAGCCAAGGGACGTCTTCGCTTAATATGGACTCTTGCAGAATTCCATACTGGCGGAAATTTTCACTGACACACGTCAACGAGGTTTAGTTTATATTGAATAAACTTGCCATAGCAACGTGGCTACGCACGGAAATTTATCTCGACCCAATTTCACGTGTGTTATTAGCAAAATTAACAAAAATATTAATCACATCCATTTTGATAAAATGCCTGCTAATAGAGCTAGTTTTGATTGCTCGCTGATCAATCTGAGATTCCCTTGAGATCAAATAACGTCCGACCAATATTAAAAAATCAAATTTTCTTTGTTGTCTTGCGATTATAATGAACCGGTACTTTGGTATTTTCTTTGGTTTAGCAGTAAAGCCACGTTATGACTTTAGCTGTAAAAGATTTATGCTTTGGCAACCCGTATCAAAGAGAAGGAACCAGCGAGGAAACAACAAAAAGAATTTTTCCAAGAGTTTTATTAAACTAAATTTAATGGTCGACGAAATCTGCGTTTATTACGAAAATCTGATTAGTCTACGTGCCGGGAGATATTTCTTTGCGAGTAAATTCAAAACAACTCGTTTCTAAGTTTGCTAGTAAACTGCAGACTTTGTTAAACAAACTGAAAGGAAAGCTATTTTGCTCTCAACGTTTCAACAAAGTTAATTAAAATAATTTATTTCCTTGTTATTCACCCAACTGAAAAGTTACTTCTTTACTATCAAAATGGAATATTTTTCAGAAGCCTCATTGCTATTTTCTCGTAAATTTTAAACGCAAGAATAAATGTGTATTTAAGCGCCACCTCAAGAGCAATAGCCAAACTAAAAACTGGCTTTCAGTTACAGCATAGTTTGTGTCACTGAATTCTAGCAAAATCAATAGAGAACGCTTGAAGTAAACTTAGAATTTCAAATCAACAAATTACTGTAATGTGTCAAAACAAGAAATAAATTTTAACAAAAATTCTGTGCCAAATATTTAGTTTGAACCAGGAAATGACCTACATTAAAAAAAGTGTTTTAATTATAGCTCTCTGTAATTCGACTAAACTATTTATAATAGTTCTTGTACTTGACCAGGGGTTCAGGGGCATGATCCTACTCAACCGGTAAAAATGATGAGATCAACATCCAATTTTTTTTAATACGCGGAAAATTCCTACGTGAGGAAAATAAAACTATAGTTGTCCAAGGTTTACAAATTTTGAAAAAAAACAAGCTCATTAGCGAAAAAATATTATTTCCGAGTCAAATACAAATGCATTAACTACGACCTTTTATCTTAAACTTAACTTTTTATTATGCGGTTTGAAAATTTGAATTTTAGACGCTTCTTAGAATCGTCTCATAATATTTTTTTTGATTAAAATACGAAAACAACATTCTTGTTGAGAGTGACGCCAGTCTCACGTGAATCAGGGGCTTTACTGGATTTACATATCAGGTATAGAAAATAAATTTGATTAAATTTTCATAAATATTTCGTCATTTGTATAATATTATAAACCCAATTCTTCTCCCATGATTATTAAAATTTTTATTTTGATGTGCGTCGGACAATACTATGTTTTTTTTAGTTCTAGAAAATCTCAGTTCATTCACTGATTATTATACAACCCATTATTAGTCAAGGTAAAATGCACCTGATTTCAATTCTGATATTTTTAATTGCGCAACTTTTATAGAATCGAAACAAAGTGTACATGGTTTTAATTTGCGGAAATGTCAATTGTGTTGATTTAAATACTATGTGATTGATGTAACCTGTTCTTAATTTAACAATTAATGACCACAAAAATTTACCAAGTCTATAATTTAGAAAACAAGAATAAATCTACCTACCTTTTGTGGTTTCAGCGACAATAAAATGCAATACTTTTCTAGTTAAGTGCATGAAATTGCCATACTTAGCTTTAAGTGCGTTCAAATGAAAACATCTAAAGTAATTAAACGGCAGATTGAGTTACCTCGATGAATGATGCATAATGCATGTAAATGCATGATAAATAAAGAAATTGCAAATTGTAAAACTACTTAACTCTTCATTGTAACATAACCAAGGTTTTTGATATTTTTGCCCAGAGCTTTGTTCTGTTTTGAGTCTAAAGTTAGACACTTTGACAATTTGCCAAACATTGCGTGCTAACAACCGGACATTCAAATTTAATTCAAATACAAATAATGCGTATCACAATTACATTCAATACATGGATTGAAAGTGAAGTGCAGTTTTGAAGTTCCAACAAGTGGCACACTGGCACCATAACTTGTTGACAAAGTGAAAACCTAGTGTTTAGTGAGATTACACCAAGAGGTAAGTGTTTTACAGTGAAATTTATTCACTGTTAAATTTTTGTAAAAATTGGAATTAACGTCATTGCGACGGTGTTAAAATCATGAAACGACCCTGACGGCCAATAATCTTTACTATAATAAAACAGTCAGTAAATACAATTTTTCAAATAATGTAGTGGAGGTGTTTAAAGTGTGAAGAAGGTTCGAGTTTGCTCATAAAACTCGCATTTTCTTCTTAAGAAAAAAATGTTAATTGAGTTTTAGTACTTTGTGCAACTTTTACTGATGTAAGTCTTAGAAACTCATCTTTAAATAATAGATAATTTCTTAACGTCCTTGTACAAAATATGATTTTGTAATGCATCTTGTGATTCGAAAACCACACATCAAGTTCCAGGTACATATCATAATTATGGTAATTGATATTCTTATCATAGTATGTTATAAACGTAAATTTACCGTCCATTAGGTGTGAATGGAAAAGTAAGAATTGTACATATTTCTAGAATCTTGATTGGTTCAAGTTATGCAATTGGTCGTCGATAGAGAAATAAAAACCGGATTATTTAATCAATTCTTCTTGTGACTGATATGAGTCATGTTACAACATTGACCTTGCATAAATAGCAAAACGTCATTGAAAAAATATCGATTGGTGGAAAAACAAAAAGTCCAAAGTTTCGAAATTTTGGCAATACAAAGGAATGTTTCAAATGATTAAAATTCTTCAGATAAAGAAATGATTTTTCGCATATCTCCAATAGGTTTAACATTAATGAGAAATGGGGCAATTACCAAGCAATTAAGAATTTTCTAAACGCTTTTGTTTAGTAGCTTTGTCCATTAAGGTTTTGAAATAAAAACAATAAACAATGATTTATTAAAAATATTTATACCGTCAACAAATATTTAATTAATCATTGCGATTATAAGCACGTGTCGGGGAAATTATTTAGGTTACTAGTCATCTAGAGTTCTAGACGTTTCATAAAATGCATTTCAAAATTTTTTTCTAAAAAATTAGCAAATTGGATTTCATCCGAGTCATTTTATTTGCAGATCGGTGCGTCCTTCCGTTGAGGTCAAATAAAATTGAAACTAATGCCGGTGTCCAGTGATCTCAGTTTTTGAGCAATTCTTAAGGCGGCAACACAGTCAGGTAATGCCATTTTTTGCATAATTTGTTGTTTATTCAAAGAGAAATAATTTTTGCTCGTACCTTCTCGTCATACAACGTGAGCCAGAAGCAATAAACAACCGGTTTAATTTTTTTTATCGTTTTTAAATGAGCAAATAATTTTCTCGTATGCATTTTTAGTGATTTAGTCTGTTTTAGTTATCGCTAGTAGAAACACATCTTTTCTCGCAATGAAGAAGTTTGATCTCGACGATATTCTCATCTCGATAGGAGGATGGGGAAAATTTCAAACTTTGTACTATTCGGCATTGTGTACCGCGATTATTTTCTCCGTTTTTCCGGCAATGAATTACATTTTCATCGCGAGGGACATCAAATACAGGCAAGTCATTTTTAATTTTTTAGAAAATTTTTAACGAAAAATTTAGGTGTAACATTGATTCGTGTGATAAAGAAAACGGTGATTTCAATCCAGAATGGTTGAAAAATGCCGTTCCTTTTGAACAAAATATTCCAAGTAAATGTTCCTACTATCAACCTGAAGAGAATGACACTTGTACTAACTTCATAAAAAATGAGACTTTAACATGTCATGATTTTATTTACGAAAGACAAGAAACGACAATTGTCCACGATGTAAGTCCCCAAACCCAAAAAACGTCAATTCCAATAATTAATTCCAGTTTAATATAAAATGCGATGAAAATCTCTGGAAATTAACAATAATAGGAACAATCAATGTGGTAGGAAAACTTGTGTGTTTACCACTTGCTGGATTTTTCTCCGACCGGTAAAACATTTTCCCAAACAAAATTGTTTCTTATGAAATTATTCCAGATTTGGTCGAAAATCGATGGTCATAGTTAGCGTATTTTTGAGCACAATTGTGGGTCTCATACGATCATTTTCAGTAAATTATTACATGTACGTTGGGTTGGAGTTTTTGAATACAGTGGTGGGTTCAGGAATATACAGTGGGGCCTTTATCTTAGGTAAATTGCTCAAATTCAATCCTGAAAAATTATTAATTTTCTTCCAGCTCTAGAATTAGTCGACTCAAAACGTCGAAATTTGGGCAACAGTATTATCTGTTTGGCATTTACCGTGGGTCATATTTTGTTAGGGGCCGCAGCTTGGGTGTCCCCGACTTGGCAATTTATGACTCAAATCATGTACGGCCCTGGAATTTTAGTAACAATTATTTTGTGGTTTGTCCCCGAATCTGTGAGATGGCTAATCGCGCGAAACAAAATCGAAAAAGCTGAAAACATCCTGAAATCAATAGCGAAAATGAACGACAAAGAATTGACCGAAGAAACGATTAAAACAATTCCGTACCTTGAAGACAGCAAGAGTGACGGTGACGAAGCGATTCCTTTGATGGCAATTCTGAAAAAGAAAAGTCTCCTTATTCGAATCATCCATTGTTCGTTCACTTGGATCTGCTGCAATTTCCCTTACTACGGTTTAACAATTCAATCAGTGGCTCTATCTCAGGACATTTATGTAAATTATATGTGCGTCTCTGTGGTTGAAATTCCTGCTTACATATTAGCCTACGGAGCTTTGGATCGAATCGGGCGAAAGAAAACTCTCGCTCTGAGTCTTATCCTCACAGGAGTGGCTTGCCTCAGTGTCGATTTTATCAAATCAGGTAAACGTAAACAAGGCCAAAACAGCTATTAAACCGTTCGTTGCAGGAAGTCCACTCGCACTCGTAGTCTTCCTCTCCGGAAAACTCTTCGTTACCGTGTCTTACATGACTATTTACATTTACACGGCTGAATTATTCCCCACTAGCTCGAGACATTCCGCGTTTGCTGTTTGTTCCATGTTTGGATGCGTTGGCTCAATGCTGGCACCACAAGTGCCTTTATTGGTAAATCTGGTCATTTTCAATCGAGCAAAAATGAGAAATTTGTTTCAGGCGAAAGTCTATAAGCCTCTACCGCTGATGGTCTTCTCGGCTCTTGCCTTCACTGCCGGACTGTTGGCATTCCTCTTTCCGGAGACGAAAGATACGAAAAATCCCGAAGAGATAGATAAATCCTGATTTTAGTAAATTGTAGTTGATTATGTAAATAGATAATTAAGAGTGTTTGCAACTCTTTTTGGTGCAAGTTTGTACGTCGTAATTAGACTCATTTTTGCGAGTGTTAGAAACGGCAATGAATTTTTCACGGTCATCATTCAATACCCCTATAATAATCACCTTGGAAAGATCGCGCGATTCCAGTTTTCGGCATTCTAATGTGTCTTGTTGTTTTTTAATTATTTCCGCTTTTTTAACAACAACGAAAAAATTGATGATTTATTTATGTTTTGATGACGACAAATGTTATTAAAACTTTCTAGAATAATGACAAAAATTGATTTATTTGATTTAACAATTTGTTTGTGATTCTTGCAAATTTATTCAAGGAGGAAGTTTGTACTTTCATACAGTTAGTGCATCTCATTGTTTGACTTAACTGTTCCTTATTTGTTTACTATAAAAGGTCAAATCGACCTCGGACTGCACCTCAAATTGATTTGTTATTAAAATTGTGTTTTAATACATTTATATTATGTACGTATGACTTAATAAAAAATAGTTTTCCAAACAAATTATGAGTTTGTTTTCTCTCATTCCCAACACATAAATTTCAATTAAATAAAAAAATATTACAATGATATAACAAGTGTTATAAAACACCAACACGTGACCAAATAAGTGTAAAAATCGACCTTGAGGAAATTTTTGATGTAATGATGACTTATATATTTTTTTCCCGCTCTTGTAATTACATTTAAGTGTGTTTTTTTAGAGGGTATTTAGCGGTTTCTTGGCGCAAATTTAAGTTGATTTTTTTTAAGTTTCCGGCAGCTATTGTAAATAACAATTTTGTGCTAAGTGCTGACGACAAAATAAAACATCTAAATTGTTATAATTTGCCGAATTTCGAAAAAAAAACAACTTATTCACCTCTGACTTCTAATTAAATTAAAATTTTACTCGTTGCTGTTGAACAAATAGGAAAAACACAAAAACCAGTTTAATGATTAGTATAAATATTAAAAAGAAAAGTGTGTAATATGTTTGAAAAATGGTGTGAAGATCACGCATTGCGTATTTCCGCATCTCGTCCCGTCAATACGAGGTGTCGCCACTGGTAGCAACATTTCTGAAAGCTCAAGCTTTAGCAAAATTACAAATCCTTATTGATTTTGTTTCTAGTAATAAATATGATAAACAAGCATGCAAATTGTTGCAATAAATCTACATTTACCTGACTGCAACTCGAAAAAAATTGCATTTAATTACTTGTAATTTGCATAATAATTGATTTGTTACGACTTGGATAAAATCTGTACACTCCTGCAATGACGTGTGTTTATTTCACGTAAATACCTACCTCCTCGAGTTTACTAATTGATATAAAATCTGGTGTAACAGAAGTTGTATAATTAACAAAGGGGATTAGTAATTAAATGCTTGTTAATGCAAATTTAATGCGTAATTGTTGATTCAATCCATTTGTCATTGGGATAAGTACATAACACTTAACACAAGCCAGATTGGCAAAGTAATCCAAAATCACACACGCTTGAGGCTTAAAAAAGCCCAAAAGCTTGGTCGCAGCTTTTGGAACTATGCTGTTGAAACGATTAAATCTACAAGACAATTTATATTCGATTCAATCGGTCATTAAAATGCAGTTAACTTGTAAATGTCGGTGTAGTGATGGAATTCCAATTGAGTATAATACTCCCGCCGTCAAAATCATCATTAAACGAAATTTTTATGTGTCGTGTGGTGAAAAATCGGTGCGTGAGTTAGCATGTAAAATCTTTTAATAAAAGCGGGTAATCAAAACATATTAGAGCTGTAAAAATTCAAATTTATGTCCGAGTATTTTATCTTAGGAACGTGTACCGAAAATAAAACTTTGTTGAGTAGCAGTAAAATTTATGGTGAAATTATACGGGAACAATAGTGAGCGCACAATGTATAAGAGATAATTTAAATTCAACGCGTTGTTGAGTCGAACAAGTATTGTTGTGGGGCGATGGTCAAAAGTCGTGTTAACAGGTATTTCAGATGGGCCATCCTGCCGAGGTGCTAAAATGGAATGCTTTGTCGCAAGGGTAGACGTCTGGCGCCCCCTGTGGTGGACTATGTTTCTCTTATCAGATGCATCGCCGCCCCTAGCGAAGGAGTTTATTATGCAGACGATTATCAATACGAGATAAATCTTTTGATGTCGAATCGAAAAATCTGTTTGCTTTCCAAGTCCGTTTAGTGCTAATGCGAGCTTTATTGAGTAACAAAAATAAACAATAAGTCATTAATTCAAATGGATGTGGCAAATATGTTTTCACATTTATTAACGAACGTTTATAGTTGATTAACACATAAAATCGTGCCGCTATTTCCATTTTACTGAACATCAAATCCAGACCTTTTCACCGGAAACCTTCATCAAACTTTTAAATGATTGGCAAATTGTGGCAACAAAATTTAAAGTATGTTAATTAATCAATACCTAATTTTATATGAATCATTATCTCCTATTGAATATGTAATCAAATTTAATATAGGTTTCATGATACGTTACTGAGAGAATAAACAAATCCAGAAACTAGATAATTTACAATCCATCAATTCGTCATTACTGAAATAATTATTAACAAATCCATCCCCATCAAATCTGTTAATTGAAAACGATTTGTCAACGATAGATAAGTTCGTTTAATATTTAACTAGACATTTTGTTAGCTAAATCGAGAAGAGAACAAGCATCGTGCTTAATGACCTGGAATAAATATTCTCTAACAGGAGGAACACAGAAAAAGCATTTAACTCCTGCTAAAGGATGTTCGGGGGCGGCCACGAAACAATATCTTGGGGCGGATGTATACTGAACAAATCGCGCAATATTTGGGAGGGTGGCAGTCCAGACTCTTGCCCTATTTATTCGAACATGATTCACGGGAGGTTTGAACAACATTTTATTTCATTTCTCTTTGTTAACAAAATTGTTACTAAAATAAGCAGTAGCATTTTTTATACCTAAATAAATAATCAATAATAATGGAAAAACGACCACTTTTTTGAAATTATTCAATATTTGATTTAACTTTTGAATTTTAAGAATTTTATCAGGAAAACGTTTGGCCAATTTTTGTTTTAGAATAGTTCTTAATTGAGGGGTTACAAAACTAAAAAAGATTAATTTTCAATTCTAAACTTTATTTATTTATTTTTTACTTTTTATTGATTGATTCATTTGATTTTTATTTATTTTAAATCGGCATTAAAAAGTATGACAATACGTATAAGTAGGTAAAGTTAAAAAGTCGACCATCACCAAGTTTAATATTATTAATAGTTCGAAATAATAACATAAAGACATGTTTTTATACTTTTTCGTCGAATTTTAAAACTTTTGTTCTAATACAACAGCTTCTATGAAACCTAAAATTTTATAATAGGTATTTGTATTGGTGTTTTATTATTTTTTTATTCGACTGTCAAATATCATTCAAAAATCCTGTGTATACAGTAGGTATGTTTAAAGTTGCGCCTTAGGGTAAATGAACAGAAAAAATGTTTAAAAAATTTTGATATTTTTTTTTGACATTTGACTTTTATATGTCTATTATATATGTAATCGATGACTTTGCACAGTTATACAGTATGTCCCTAGATTAAATTTAAAAGAGGAAAAAAATTGTTATCTTTGATTTTACGCCAAAACTGCAAAAGAAAAACATTTTTTGCTTCACCTGAAACGAGCAAATCTGTAATTAAAACTTTTATTCTGACTCAGCAGAAAGAAAAGCTCATTTTTGTCTTGATTTTGGACTTAGAATAAATTAATTGTCAAAGTGACATATTGTTGTCAATTAAATAAAACCACCAATGCGATAAGACTTAAAAAGTCCAAAATTAAGAAAGAAATTAACTTTTCCCTTCACTGAATCAGAATAATGTTTTAATTACAGATTTACTCGTTACAGGTGAAGCAAAAAATGTTTTTCCTTTGCACTTTTGGCGTAAAATCAAAGATATTTTTTTTTCCTCTTGTAAACTTAATCCGGAGACATACTGTATGTTTTTTCATAATAAATCAGTAAAGGTACAAATACTTTGCCTCAAATAAAGTTAAATATATTTAGGACACAGCGCGAAAAGCTATACAGCGCACAAAATTCATACTTTTATCATTTTTTAGCATATTTATTATCTTTTATATCATTTTATCACACGTCGATATTATTTTTATAAGTGATACATTTTCATTATTTTATTATTTACAACCTCAATGATTTTTAAGTAACAACGTTATCAGTATTTTTCTAAATGACAACCAACATTTTTGGTTACTGTTTGTACGTTAATTTTTGGTTCAACCTGTATACAAGGTGATTCACGAAGAATAATGAGCCTGACCAAATTCTCGATGCAACCACCATTACTTTTCGCAAGTTATTTTGAGACAACTGAAATGTTGGTTGCATCGAGAATTTGGTCAGGCTCATTATTCCTCGTGAATCACCTTGTATATAACGTATTAGAAAATTCTGTTGGTACATCACTAGTAAATTAGTAATACATAATAATAACTCGTTTAATTATTGTGACAAATTATTCTGCTGTAGCTGTAGATAAGCTTCTCACCATAAAATCTGATTTGACATGAAATAATAAACAATATGCCAAGTGTTGAGCATGTTGTGTGGTAATTAAATTCTCATTCTTGTTCCAGTTAGAGAGGGATTAATTTTAAATTTGAGAATTACTAAATATACCAATTTTTTACTCGATTAAATTTAAACGTTTTCATATTTTGTCAAACGGTATTTTCCTAAATTTCCGGATTCAATCAATGCACGAGGGGTATTTGGGTGAAAATTGCATGACATCACGAGTTCAAATAAGTAAGTTTTAGTTTTTGATGTTTAAAATAAAGTTTTACTAAATATTTGAGGATAGTTAATGTGTCAACTTATTTATTTTAGCTTGAGTCAAAAAAATTCCGTAAAATTTTTGTATTGCTATGGTAATCATAATCATATTAAATAGTAAATTCACATTGGTTTTTCATCTTATTATCGGGTTAAAATTCTCTGAGTAATAGCAGAGTTAAATTAAAATTAATAATGTCAGAGATATGCCCCAACAATTTCTTGCCTGTGTTAGAGTGTTAGTTATCGATCAGCAACAGAACAAGAAACAAAATTTCCATAGTTATGACGTCGAAGTTAATTCAACATAAACTATGCAAGAAGTTGAAACATAGCGATCGTGCGATGATACATGCATAGTAATGCATACATGCGGAAGGAAATAACTAAACTATCATAAACATGCAAGTATCGGTATTTCCCCGGTTCAAAAAATACTAGCCTCGAAAGCTCCTCGGATGTAATGCGGAGCTTAAACTTGGCATTTGTTGTAATAAATCGGCGGGTCGAAAAGACGAATGGCAGCATTAAATGCGGTAAGCAAGTCTTCGAGTGCTATTCTCATCGTCGGAACCAAACACAAAGCTGTCAGAATAGAAGCAGTGGTGGTAGTTGAGTCAAACGCACGTGCGTTAAGCCCGCATCCGCACACACGATTTTTTTTTAATTAAGAAGACGGAATTCTCTCTTCACCTTGATCAAATATATCCGGAGTAATTCGCTTAAGCCCTAATGTGATGTCAAAATGAAGTTTCATTATGACAAAGCCGGTTTAAACGTAGTTTAAATATGAGTGCTGTTTGCAGTGAAGTGTCTTTCAATGTTTGCAAACTTCTGCAAGTGTGGACGATTTTATTAACTTGCAGCACGGTCATGGAAGGTTTGTTGTTTTCTCACAGATTAACCCACGTTTTTAAACACAATTTTAAAGATTTCACTTAATTAAGACGAATTGTGTTTACGTCTTCTGTCAAAAGAGCAGAGATAATGGAAATCTGAGAACAAATAGACGGCCACATGCTCCCTTCATTTTTCATTTTTATTTTCTGAAGTTGATACGATTGTTTCAATGAAAAAGTTTATGGTTTTTAATATAGCTTTTATAAAGTTTCTTTTATCATCTCTTATAAAAGAACAGTTCTGGCTAATATTAGATTGAAAAAGATACGTTTACATTCTAAACAATAAACTTAATTACGATTAAAATTAGCGCAACAAGGAGAAAACTATGACAAATAGAAATACAGAAATTATTTGTGGCTCACCCTGTTAACATGAAGGCTGTAAAACACGACACGGGTTTTAATGGGCAATTATGGGGCACGTATTCGAAGAAGTCTAATAACCAGCAGTAAATATTATTGTTATTTCGGTTGTTTTTAATCCGATTTCAAAACACAACACCTTTGATTGCTTAAATAAACTAAATCTAACAGTTTAGATTTGGACAATAGCCATCTAGCAATTTGTGGTCTCTATTGTATTTTCGTTGGAACGTCCCGAAATATTTTCTAATGAAAACAGCTATAAAGTTGGGTTTACTCGAATTAAACTTTCCCAATTTCAACAAAAGCTCTTACGTAATTGCAAGAATAAATATTTTGCATCATATAAGAAAAACATTATGACAAAATGGAGCATATTTGACGTTAACAACAGTTAGAAGCTTTTAAAGCTGTAATGGTCTTAAAATGTAAATCATGGGTTTATTTAAATTTTTGCGTTGAAAGCTTCAAACGGCTTGCTTTATTGTCGTTGGCGTCCTTCACTGGAAATAAGACCATTTCAATTATTTCTGTATGTTTGAATTAATGTTGTGCGCCAGGTTCAAAGCATTTTTCATAATTCGAGACAAAACCAATTAACGGGATATTTTTAGTTGGCAATTAGCAATTTATTAAATTCTGCTGCCTCGAAAACAGCTAAAGGAAACTTGTTTTCGAAAAATACAATTCGTGCCGCAACAGCTCTATTTATATTTACAATAGCTTGATTACATTTAGAAAATTTAAATTTAGCTTGCCCTAGGTATGCAACGACGTATTTAATTACTTAAGTGTTCTAAATAGACAATGGGAAAGGATAAAATCCTCACAATGGTTGGAATTTTTTCACGCATAGGGAATAATTTTTAATTAAATTACAGATTATTCCTCGAATTATGAAAATAAAATAATAAAAATGTGTTAAAACAAACTGATTTTAACATACCATTAAAATCAAACATAAATGTTTGCATTAGATAAATATAGAATAAAATTATGAAAAATTTTATTTTTTAGTAAATAGTTGAAATACAAAAATAAAAGCACGCTTTGACCTATTTACGGAGAACTTTTGTTCAAACTTAAAGCGGTTTAATTATTTTACTATTCCGACCAAGTCTTATTTTGGAAAAATAAATTAACAAAACAATCTAAAAAAATTCGTGGAGTATTTATTTTAAGCAGGGAAGCAAATGCTTCTTTAATGTAATGATTAGGTTGATTTATAAATCGTTGGACAAATTTGCTGTGGCAAAAATATTTCGCAAATATTCCTTATGGCACGCAAAGCGTGCAAATCGTGCTAAAACTTCCATCTATTCCAGTAGTGCCAACAATAAAACAGTGGTTTTTTCGTCTAAAAATATACCTCGGTGCCTTTTTTAGTCCGGTTGTTAGCAAACGCCCAATTATTTTCAGTAAATTTCAAATTTGGTGAATTCTTCTATTACATCTGGTTGTTTGTTCGTCTTGGCATTGTCTCGGGTACTTTGGCGCCTTGTCAACAATTCCGTCGGTGTTAAAGGTCGTCGTCTGTTATTTTTTCAATATCGCGTTTTACCTAAAAAATAGCGTGATGACAGGACGTCCTTTGTAAATATTTGAACAGCTTTGACAGTCAAGCATATCGTTTACATCCTGAACCGATCGTCGCGTTAAAACAAATAATTGTTGCGGTTTTATTACTCGACTTTAGTAACTGACGGTCCTATTTTTAGCACATGTTTATTTTTCTAAAAGAACAGAGTTACTCCAGGTGCAGTAACCGAACACAGCGCATATTAAAAGTGAAGAATCAGGCAATTTTTCAGTCCCTTCGACCGTTTTATTGTTTACTCAGAATCAGCTGTTCCTGTCAAACATGGTGCTGCGCCCCATTTACCCCACATGCGGATTATTAATCTGTAGTTGTGATGCATTCCTCCGTTTAACGGTATTTAATTACGTAGACGTATACGTAATCCGTAACACATGGATGGGTGTCTGATTTTTGAACTGCTGCATGTGTGGAATTGTCTCCTTTGGCGAGCTTAAATTACTCGACCGAGAACGAAAGGATTTTGAGCTTGACACAGGCGCTTTGATGGTCGAATAGCGATGGAAGGATTTTCGGTAAATAATAACGAAACGAAAGTTTAAATGCCTTATGCAAGAGTTAAATCTACTAACTTTCAACTACATTCGACTGTATTGATTAAATATCCTTATGCACAATGTTTGAAAAAGAGTGATTCGATACAAAACACCGACTTTTGCATCTTATTCGCAATTTTTTGTCGATAACTAGCGTCGCGCTATAGGTAGCACAATTTTTGTTACTACATGAAAGATGAAAAGGGCTGTGTAACAGTACCAAACAACAAATAATAGTTTGTTGAAGTTTACTTGCACAGAAACTCCAATCCTCTTAAGTCAAAAATGAGAATTATGAGAATCTAGTGATGTTTGTCCAGAAATTTAAAATTCTTGGGAAATCTTTAAAATTCTCAAAATCTTTTCTTTAAAATGATCTTCAATGTAAATCTCACAATCTTTAATAAACCTCAATAATCTTCAATATTTTTGATAAAAACAATAAAATCTTTAAAATGTCTAAAAAATATATCACTTCTTCTCAATAAACATAAGGATATGCCCTTTGTAATATCCTACTAACTGCGCTAGTTATCTAGATTGTTATTATCAAAAATATTTTATATATCAAAAATTTTAACTGTCTAGAAAAATTTGTTTTTTTTTGGGTTAAAATGCTAACAAGTTTGCTCGAAAGACATAAGTACTTTAAAAAGTTGTCTTGGTGAACAAATGTAATAAAAAAATTTGTTTTTTTTGGGTTAAAATGCTATCAAGTTTGCTCGACAGACATAAGTACTTTAAAAAGTTAACCTTTAAAAAATCTGAAATTATGACAGTAATAGACTAGAGTTAAAAACTTAAAAATTCTTTATATTAAAAACTTTCAAAGTTCTTTAAGACTTTTTACTACCAAAAATGTTCTAAATAATAGTTCAATATTTTTGTATGATATAACTAGTTAAAAAAACTTGTAAAATTTAATAGTTGAGTTGGTGTTTTATGTTTTCAATGCGTTTTTTATCCTTTTTTCAAAATGTTATAATACATGACTACTAAAAAAACTTGATAAATGTTTTAAAAGAGTAATTAAAAAAAAATGGAAAAATGAGAAATTTCAACAGATTGTCTTGGTGAACAAATGTAATAGAAAATTTTTGTTTTTTGTTTTTGTTTTAAAATACCAACAGGTTTGGTCGAAAGACATAAGTACTTTAAAAAATTCTGAAAGTCTGAAATTATGACAATAATAGACTCAAGTTAAAAACTTAAAACTTCTTTAAATTAAATTTTTTTATGACTTTTTACTTTAAAAAATGCTCCAAATAACAGTTCTGTATTTTGGTATAATATTTCTAGTTAAAAAAACAACAATTTGTACTTGTAAAAGTAAATAATTGAGTTGGTGTTTTATGTTTTCAATACGTTTTTTATTCTTTTTTCAAGAGGTTATGGGCATGACTACCAAAAAAACTTATTAATGTCTTAGTAGAGTAATTAAATTAGAAAAAAAATTAAAAATAAAAAATCTTACAATTGGCATATGGTGTTTTTTATGTGTCTGTGTTTTTGGAAACCCAGAAAAATGCATTAAAAATTATATAGAATTTAACGCAAAGTGTAAGTCACAATAATAATAGATAATATTATTATTATTAACAAAATTAACAAAACCTAATTTTTAAAAATTTGATTTGTTGTAAATTGAATTTGAAACAATTACATGATTGGGATTGTTTATTATTTTTTATTATACCTGCACTATTATTATAATCCTAAATTAAAACACGCTGCAGCGTGCGTAATTTGGCCTTTATAGCACGCTGAATTTTAAAGTTGTCTAGGTAACTCCGCTGACGCGTCGTGCTTTTAAACATGTCGTGCGTGTTTTAAAGGCTTGCTTATAAACTAGTATTATAATATACTATTATTAATATTACAGGTATTGCGTGATTATTATTAAAAACGTGAATAATTAATTCGACAATTTCGAAACACCGTTGCATTGTTGGGAAAATAAATCGCAGCTAACAAGTAAAGATGTTTCTTTACACTCTAGTTCTGTCAACACTATTTAAATCCTAAAAATATATTTGAGTTGTCTCTTTAACTAATTGGATGCGATTTATATCAGTTAAAAAGTCTTGAACTTGGCCAAATAATGACCATAGAATTCAAGATAATTTAAATAAAGATGTACTATACGTAACTTCCGCAATGTTTGTGAAAAGTAAACACAAATCTATTTTCGAATTGAGAATCATTAGAGCTTTTTCGGCCTGGTTATTAATGGTTGGTATACCTTGCCGGAAATACTCTCATCTAAATTTATCCGTCGCCAGTTTTGATATTTTCTCATTGTTTGCACTTTTGGTAACCGTTGATTAGTTGTAACTCTCTTGAGACTTTTCCGAGTGGCATTTTGCCCGATAATATTCGATCAGTCGTATTTGGTTTGTCGTCGTCTTGATTAAAACCGTTTGTCTTGTCGAACGTGACCAATGAAAAATAGTTGAACATTTCGCGATTTCCTTTTTGAGCGAGTGTTTGGGGGAAAATAATCGTACAACGTCGTCTGCTCGGTATTTATGTTCACCGGTAATAGAGTCGAATGGCCGTTCTATAAAATAATTGCTTTGGCCAACAATAAGAGTATGCCATCCGCTTTGTATTTGTGTTCATTGTTGCAATTATTTTGTTGTTTAGAAAGTCAACATAATATGCTGGTTAATCATGAAACAATCGACGCGGTGAACATACACTTAACATCTGAGGGCGTTTATATTGCAAATGATTTCAAAAGAAAATTCAATTATTTCCAACCGAAATTAATTGGGCGAATTCGGCTCGAGATAACGATCAATTGATCAAACATCGTTATTTATCGGAGAACTCGCAAACACTGATATCAAATAAGGCCAGCGACCTCCATGTAATTTTTAATTTGTGTTTTTTGTACTTAAACTGTGTTTCCTGAATAAATTTGCTTTGCTATCAGTTTAATATCGGACAATACACAACTAGTTTTGCAATCTGGGAGAGTAGCGTCCACTTGCAGTAATAAATTTAGCATTAAAAGTGAATTATCTTTTGGGTAAATAATTGTATCAATTTGTCACTTGCGTCAAGTCTTGTAAAACCGCACACACTGGGGATTTATTTTAACTGAACCGTTTGTAGTGAAATTGGCTGTAGTGGCTCAACCGCACTTGCTTACCTGATAATAATTACTCGTGCTTGCGGTCAAATCCGGACTAAATCCGGTGATTTCTATGTAAATTGGAATTGTGCATTAGCCGCATTGCGAAAATTACGGTGCAGATTTGGCTCAACTTATCAAAAAATTCTGCAATAAATTAGAGCAGATCGTTTGTAACTTGAAAAGCTTAATTGATCCGAATTAAATTCCGGCTAAAAATTTATAGCCCGGATTAAAAATTTGTACGTTGGCGTGTTTCACATCTCTCGCTGAAAACGTTCTAGTGGCCTAGATGCCGTAATTGACAAATAATTGGCCACGTGCCAAGCGTTTAACCCTTTTTCAGTGCTAAATAAACTCATAGATTGTCTTGTTTCAGGATACACTTGGACCAGTGGAGTAAAAAGTGTGCTAGACCACAATGCGGGTTCGTCGCCAGTCTTCGATGATTTTACGATAAGGGAACTCGAAGCCACTGAGGGGCAAACTCTTCTTTTACCTTGCACAGTCAGATATCTGGGAGATAAAGTTGTAAGTTTTATGGCTCGAGTGCTTGTTTTCCACTTACGTCGAAATCCAATTTATAATTTGCACGGTTTTAACACCACATTGTAAAAAATCTTTCAAAACATTTACTTTGAACGAGAGAAAAGAACTCTGCTTTTGTCATAACAATGGTTACTTCTGTTCTTGAATTATCAAAGCAGAAATATTAAATGGCCTACAGGACTGAGGGAATAAAATATTAAATCCTTTTTGGGTCGACTATAGAAATAGCTTTGTAATAAGTTTTAAATGTGAGAATTATAAAACGATACGATTTCAGCAGTTGTCTTTATAATAAATGAAGTTTCAAACTCAATTTTGTTGTAAAGGAATGTAAAGTCTTTTAGAGTAATAAATTTGAATATCAATTGTTACTTCGCTAAGACTTATTAGACGAAATTTTCTAAGAAACTCAAGAGTTTTCAAAGCAAATTAAGGCCATTTTGAACAAAGTTCCAAATTCAGGCTCTTCTCTAATTTTATTTACAGCCCAGTTTCGGTGTATGCTTTTGACTCAAGGCTTTTATATTTTAAATTTATTTTAATTGGGTATACATACTTATATAAAAAGACGAATTTAGAAAATGATTTGCAACGTTATAAGCTCTTTGAATTAGTCAGTTAAATTAAAACTTAATTTCATTTAAACAAAAAATTACAAGAATAAAGGATTTTAACAAAGTGAAAATAAATTAAAAGTTAAGAAAATTTCTCTGAAAAATTTAAAGATTTTCTTTTTGTTATTTAGTTTCAGCAGCTTTTATTTTTATAGCATTTGCAAGTCGTCAAATAATTTGTTAATGAGAACTATTTCGTATTTACACAAAACGAAGAAATATAAACAATTTGATTGTAATCAATAAAATTTTAATGTTATAAGGGGTGATTTTGTCAATTTTTGAAATTTAGATTTTTTTTCCACACCTTAAAAAGGATTAAGAGTATAATAGTTTCCGAACTTTTCTACGGCGCAACCGCGTTTTTTTTTGGGGCGAAATAGGTTATAAAATTTGATTTTTGTTTAAAAGAAGAATCTGTGTTACCATTGAACTCAATTTTCAAATTTAGGCCAAGAGGCGCATACAGAAGAAATCATTGTGAAAAGTGGCAACAATTTTTTTACGGAATTTATGGTGAATAGAAAGTATGTAATCAAGCGTTTTTTTTTAAATCATTTCCCTTCAGAAAATAAAATTAATAAATATTAAAGTCCTATAAAAATTGTAATTGTGTTTTGAGAATGAAATTGTGTTTTATTGTTTTTGCGTTATACGATTTTTGCCTAAATGGCAACTTATATGAATTTTTTTCGATAAAAATTGAATAAAATGTAAACAATTGTAATCCTTAAATTAAAAAAGTTGTATCGTTACTAAAAAAATACAAATTTATACAAATTTTGCAGAACGTTACATTTTTATAGGACTTTATTATTCATCAAATAGTTTAGAAAATATATAAATAGTGTAAGCAAAATCTGGTCCATACTTTCTATTCTCCCTGTATCAAACTTATCAATTAAAAAAAAAAAACTTTAAAAAGCCTAAGTTGAGTGGGTCTGTTATTACAACATGAGCATTTTTGGATCAATTTATTTAATCGTTACTGAAATGTTATAATTACAGTTCTGGAAATTAGTGTTTTGCTACTGAAGAGTGGAATATTTGTGCATTAATTAATAACCCAATAATGGCGGTTTAGTTAGAACTGGAATTCGGAGTAGTGAAACAGAAAAAGTAATGTAACGAGTTGAAATTAGCTCGAATAGAATAATATTGGATCGTTTATTGAACTTATGCTGCCGAGAATAATTAAATTTCAATTAACTTATAATTAAAAATTTAACCAGAGTTTTCATCACACTTTGTTAACTTGAATTTATGTCTGAAATTTAATTACAACTATTTGGAAACGCCTCGTTCTATAAAATCCACGTGTCATATCTCCTAAAAGAATCCAAACAAACATTTATCAGGAAAATCTGCAAGGACGATAAATTTCTCGTATGTAAATGTAATCCTTAAAAGCGTCTGTGTATTCGTACAAGGAAATCTCATGTTACAGGTGTCTTGGATTAGAAGTAGAGACTTGCACATCCTCACGTCCGGTCCTTTTACGTTCTCGAGCGACAGCCGGTTCGAGGCAGTGCCGTCGCTAGGAGGGGACTTCTGGGGGCTTCGGATAAGAGGAGTTCACTTATCCGACGCTGGTCAATACGAGTGTCAAGTCAACACCGACCCCAAGATGAGTCTCGCTCTCAACCTTTCAGGTAGTTTTCCATGAAGAAAATTTTTAATTTTGTAGTTTCAGTTTCAGGCGCGCGCAAGTTCGAAAGCTCCAGATGGCTAGGCCAAGCTCTAATAAAAGGTCCGAGGGAAGTTTATGTCCGAGATGGGTCCCTGGTGACCTTCACATGTGAAATATCTCCTTTATCTACGCCACAATCTGGAGGTTTCATGAGCGCTAAACCGAAAGTGCGCTGGTTGCACGACAACAAAGAACTACTCTTTGAAGTTAGCATTCTTTTATTTTATTTCACGACACGAACCCAAATTTACTACACCGATCCCAAGCGTGACTCCACCTCACCAACTTCCGAATTCAAGAGATGTATACAATTTAACCCTCAGCACTGAGATAAAGCCGATTCTAAACTCTTGCATAATAGCCAAATTATTCTCCAATTGCTTAAACCTTGATTTGCATTTTTTTATTTATATTTTCAGCCGAGTCATTCTCACATCTCCACCAAGACTCTCTTCGAAGAATCAAGTCGGAAAGTGATTGGCATACTGAAAATTTCTAAAGCGTCCTGGAGAGACAGCGGACAATACACCTGCCTCCAAATGTCAGTCAAATCAGACTCAATCAAAATGTTTGTCGTTGAAAGTGAGTGAGATTTACCGATTCACTGGATTAACTAACAAAACTTTATTCAAATGGCACACGTAATTAGTAGATTGTTACAAAAAAAGGATTTTTCAAATAGGGTTTTATCAGTCGTGACAGTAAATTGCTCGGAATAGGAAGAACAAAAGTGAATAATGGCGTTGGTCGACACCTAAGTGCAAAGGTTGATTGAACATTGCGATACAATAGACAGGAAAAAAAGCTACACTGATGCTGGATTTTAAGTACAACACTTTCTATGATAATTTTGGGTTTCAGGTGAACATTCGGAGGCAATGCAACGGGATTATCCAGTACAGTCGTGTGCAAGTAAATGTCTGCTTCATTTAGGATTAGTACTCTTATTCACACTGTATTATCCAACGTAATTATGTAAATAAATATTTTTTTAAATCGTGTTTTACTTAACTAAAACGTAAGCAGTGGCGGCTCGTCTGGGGAGGCGGTGCCGCCCTAGTGAAAATAGAAGTTAAAAATAATAGTACATTATATTATAAGTGATAGAAATGCATCATTATACGTGAGAATTTTGCGCTTGCGCACGAGTGGGACACTTCTTACGAGTTTCATAATGGCATTTCGATCACGTGTGATATACGACGTTTTATCTTACAGAAAAAATGAAGTTTCATTCAAGTAAAATATTCACCTATAAAAATATAATGGTAAATATCATATAATAGTCAAATTTACTCACTTGTGAGTACTTTATCTCACTTGTGAGTACTTTATTTCATTTGTGAATAATATTTGATTTCTATCACCGAAAACAATGGTCTAAGGTAGCTCAAAATCTCAACCTGTAAGATAAAATAATTTACTAGAAATTTGATGTTTAGAAAGACGCAGTGCGGCATGTCGCTGAGGTTTTTAAAAAGGTTTAGTACGTAATTCAAAGTGTTTTTAAGTCAGTGGGGCAGGAGGCAGCCCCGCCTTTTTTATTAATCCAATGGGAATTAGTTTTTCAATTTGCCGGGAATATTGCAATATTTCAATGTCAATTGTCAAATTTGCAACGGCGTCTTTTGCAATAATACAAGATTGCGAAAATGCAAAATATAGTGTAGATTTTTTTAGTGTAGTGTTTGGTTGTTGTCATAATACGTGAATATGTGCATCTTGAGTATGGATGTATCTATGAAGAAGGTAACTATTAGAAATTGCTAGGTATCGTTCAGTTTAATAACAAATAAATTTTCTCGACTGTCGTACAATGATAAGTAATATGTAAAAGAATCGGGAGCACCTCATCAAGACTTAAATAATACTCCGTCCAGAAATAAGTGTCCGATTCTCTTTAAAAATCATATTTTATTGAAACATAGCTAGGTACAACTTAACTTAATTACAATACAATAATATTTCTCAAAAATTTTTAGGAGACATTTGAGCTATTTAACCGAATTGATGATGTCTTGTACATGTTCATAAAGTCCAAAATCAAACTTTATAGAAATTGGAAGCCTATCAAGTCTTTGTAAATGGTCTTTTTTCATATGACTTACTTTAGAATTGGTACCTCATGGTTTGTACAGTGATGGACAGTGAATTTCGTCCACCCAATTTCCTTGACAGATTAAAAGTGTAAATTAGTCTTTAGGTTTTCCTAACCTTGTTTCAGAATTTTGATTAACGTTTGTCATGTTGACAGAAGGCTCGATAATTTTTGCTACTTTTTACCTTTGTCCTTCGAAATGGTAGTCCTTGGTATGCCCAAAAGTATAGAGACACGTCTTTGAGACATACCTTCTTGTACCTTCATGTTCGAATTTGATTAAATTTGACAATTCGTATTTGAATGTCAATTATCATGACAATAAAGCACAGACTACAGTGAATTTTTGTGAATTCACAGAAATTGGGTGGACGAAATTCACTGTCCATCACTGTACTATACACACAACTGGCGAGAAAGAAATACCTTTCTCAAAATATCAGAATTCAATTCAGAAAAAGCGCATGATAAACCGCTTGTCTTTTGTTTAGAGTTAAATTAAGCTTCTTACGACCGTTTGCCAAAATATTTTCTTTATCTCTCAGTATTTTCTTGAGTCAGAGCTTTGAAAATTCCTGTTTTTCGATTAAAAACTTATCTCCTAAGGAAAATTACGATCCTTTTTAGTTGCTGTCAAAAACTTCATATATAAAAAGTGTTTTTAAAATGACAGTGTAGATTTAGAAGTAAAGCCGCCTTTTCTTAATTTTTGAAAAACAACGAAATCGGACACTTTTTTTGTTTTTGTATTCCTTGGTCAGCAAAGCAAAAAATCATTTTTTAGTTGTCAAGTATAGGTATGGCATGTGTAGATACACGTATATTTCTATTTTTTTATACAGGGTGTATGAGAAATACGTGTGTTAATTTTAAAACGTGAAAGAACTCACCAAGTAAAACAGCTTTTCTACAGGGTACGCCAGAACTCGTGCCCCAGAGAAAAATGCCATATAAGGTAAGATACCAGGAACATGGAAAAAAAGTTAGAATTCTATCTATAAAAATTTCGAAGTTATGAGAGTTAAATTTTGCACTTTTACTCTATTTATTTCTGTTGGAAAAATAATTTTCCAAGTTTTTTTGCTACAGGCTATTAGAATAGGAAAAAATGAAGCTGTGTCCTATATTGTAACTTTGTTCATTGTTATCTGTGGCCCTTATTGTCAAAATTTTTCTACCTATATTAAATAATTGTAAAAAACCTATACAAAATCATCAGTATCATTAAATAAACATAAAAAATGTCAAACGTCAAAAAATAAATGTCATAATTTTTTGACAGATAGAATATTTTAATTTGATACCCATAGGCGGGTATACGTTTTGATATGTTATCTTTTCCAAATTTTAAATCAAATTTGAAAGCTTTTATTGAAAAATTACAAATAGAAAAATAGATGATTTATCGAGATGTGTTCACGTTAAAATTAACACACGTAGGTATTTCTGATACACCCTGTATAAAAAAACTGCCCTTAATAAAAGACCACGAGCCGCCACTGAACATAAGCCAATCTCTCTCCATTTACCAGACAGAAACAACGAACCGAAATTACATTATTTGTGGATATTTTGCTACAAGTATATTACCTATGTAATAAATCCGAACCGTTTTAACCATTAATTAATAGTTAATGCATCAAATGAACGGCTTTACGTTGTTATTTATTTACATGATGCAAATAATATTACTAAGAGGTCATAACAGCACAGCACAGAAATTTAAACCAAACATACACGTAATTAATTAAATTTTTATTTGAAAAACTTACTAATTTTTTGATGAAAGCTCACAATGTCTGGCATTGTTTTTAAAATCATAGCATTTCTAAAACAATCACTTCATTTCAAATAATAAAGTGCTGCAAGTAAAATATTATTTCAACTAGAACATTCAGCAACGTGAAATTCACGTATTTCACGCTACGTATGAAATATTTCATATGCATAGTGCAAGTTCTACATATTACGGCAGCGAATTTTATTTAGCTCCAAATAAAAAAACACATTTTAGTCATAAATACACAAACTGAAATTATTCAGTCAATAGAAAGTTTTCACCTAAAATCAGCACTCGAACTCAAACTCAACTTGAATTCCACACTGGAGTTAGTTATTGTCGTCGTTGTCTATTGCTGTGTCCTGAGGGTTTCTGTTTCCTTCCTGCTGGAACACATAATTTATTCAATTTTTGTGTCGGATATCTGACTTCTCCCGGTAAGTAGAAAGTCAGGTAAAACAATTAAAAGTAACTTTCGACGTAATTTAATACAGGTAAATTTTAAAGTAAATATGGAGTTTTGGTCAAAACGTCCTCGAGTTACACTTGCTTTATTTTTGATAAGTTTAATTGACTCTAATTAGTTTCCCACAACAGAATACCTGACTATTTGAACATGTTATATTGTGTCACGATTGTGATTCAAGTCATAAATTATTTATACAAGGGGAAAACCTGTTATTTGTTGTAATGTATACTAAACGCAAAGTCAACAAAAATACCCGCTTTTGGCAATCTCTCAAAGATCATGTGATATTTACACTGAGTAATGCTTCAATGCATGGCTTAATTCATGTGGTTCGAAGCAATCGTCTTTTATTCGAAAGGCAAGTGATTGATTATTCCAGATTATTTACCGTTAAAGACAGATTTTTATGGATTGGATTGGTTATTGGTGCATTTTCCGTTGCAACGCACCAAGCATTACAAGCATGGAACCGATACGATACAAGTCCGGTTGTTATAACAATCGAGAAGGATTTTTTCAATTGGGAAACTGAATTTCCTGCGGTTTTTTTCTGTGCCAGAGCCAAACTAAGAACAGCCTACAAATTCCTAAAAATTTTCAGAAAGTATCTTGGAATATACTAGCCCGATTTTCAGACGATTTGTTTCAGTAAATATAACATTTCTGCAAGTGTTGATGAGTTGGAAGTTTACGTTGATGATTTATTATTTACAACTTATGAAAATTATTCAAGTTTCGAGAAATATGCCAATGGGTCACAAGAGGATTTTGTCCCAACTGACCTGTATTTGCAATTGGTCAATTTTACGTCGTTTCGAATACCCAAAAATTCGAACAAAACCAAAATAAAGTACAGCGAATGGCCAAAAAATGTCGACGGAGAGTATTCATATGTTTTGACCGAATTTGGGTTTTGTCATTGCTTTCACTCAAAACTTTCACAATTTTTCAACATCGAGTATTTGTAGTTCGATTTTTATTTGCTTATTTATGGTGTTTTTGTAGAAATTTTACCTTAGATGGTACCACAAACTCGACATTCTTCCCTATTACTAAAAGATATAAAGAACCGTCACTGACTTTATCACAGTCTGATTTTTCCCAAACTAATTTTGTATGATTGATTCACTTATTTAATAAATTTTTGCAATAATAGATTTTTAGCTGTTTGTGATTGGGACTAATGAAATTATTGATATTACGTCGCAATATTTCGTAGTAACACCTCAAACATTAGGTGATGTTTTTTTAGATATTGTAGACATTATGAGTGAAAAGGACATTAGAAATTTGTCTCCGAAGCAAAGAAATTGCAAATATTGGAACGAAGCAAATGATTTGGAGCACAGTCTCGTTTATAGCTACAATCTTTGTCGCAGAGAATGCCGAATTAAACTTTGTCTCCAATTTTGTTACTGTACACCCTATTATTATAAAAGAACCGATAACGAAGCTATTTGTAACATGAGTGGAATGTTTTGCTTATCAAAATATCCAGGTAACTCTCAAAAAATCACCCACACGTTTTGGTCCAACTTTTACAGAAATTGTAACTTTGAATGATCCACAAACTGGTCAGGATTTGTGTCCGTGTTTCCAAAACTGTAATTTTCAAAGGATCACAGCAGAGTTGACAATAAAAGCTACATGGTTCTTTGGTTCCAAGGTGACAGTCAATTTGGATCGTTTTCCAAAAGATCGCTACAAACGAACTCTGATTTTTACAAAAACTGATCTTTTGATCCAAATCGGAAGTTTGTTTGGATTGTTTTTAGGCTGTAGCGTTTTGAGTTTGATTGAAATTCCTTATTTCTTGACACTGCGGTTTTTCTGGGGTGTTTTTGGTAATAAAAAAATAAAACCACGAGTTTGAAAATGTTAGTGATTAAATTAAGTCGCTACACTTAGTTTAATGAAGCTTTCTCTGGCAATATTGGGGATTAAGGAGTTGCGTCTTTGCTTAATTATTAAAGAGCAATCTAATTTAGATATCACTATGAACTAATCGGCACAAAATTGAATTATTAGTGAAACAATTAAAAGCGAAAAGTGATGAGATTTGAGTAATAAATATGGAAATTGTGATAGGATAGAATTACGCCGATTCGATGTTTGTTTTAAGGGTTATCGCATTAAGCTATAAATGGAAAGAGGCGTAATGAATGTTTCCCTCATTGCAAGTATGGCTGACATTGGACTCTTGAGTCTAATTCAGAAGTAACAATTTCTTGGAAGATAAATTCAAATGTGTGTAATAAATGTCAAACTTTTTTCATCTTTTGTTAGTCTAGACGAACACAAACACCGATTACTGTTTGAAATAAAAGTTCATCTGCATTTCGTATTTTTTATATTTCCACCCGGTTTCCTTTATTTTTAGGACTTTTAAGTCAATTAAGATATTAATAAGCGAGTTGACAAAAAATTCGATTTGATGATTAGGGAGTCGAAGTCTGTGTTTTTGTCGTGTATTTTCGTTTCATTGAGTTAGAGAAAATTCCGATAAAACTCCAAAGCGAGCCGAATTATTAATGTGTAATTTAAGATATTTCGAGTTACATCAAGCATAAAACTACAGGGAAATCAAAGACGTCCTGAGTTTACCGTTTTTAATACAGGCCTACCACAGCTTAATGAAATGCAATATTAAGCAACATTCGCTGTTGGAAATGAGAAAAAGGGTTAGCGACTAGAATAAACTTAGATTCGTTTTGGTGAAGTAAACTCTCACAATTTGTCTGAAACTTTTAACTCGCTATTAATAACAATGTCTGTGGGTCTTATTGCAGTTTTGGAAAAACTTTCTGAAAACAAGTTGGTTTTGTACCGTGACCCACTGGCCTTAATCTGAATTTGACGGGAGCTTTAATCAAGTGTAGTAATGTACAGCTTGGAACCCTATCATATCTTTTCTTTCTTTATGTGCACTTAAACTTAATGAGTTAGAATGAAATAGATTTTAGCTGTCGTAAAACGGTTATAGGAAAATACTTAGGGAGAACAGATCTTATCCTTTAATCCGTTTTATGGAACCGATAAAGAAAACGTGCAGCTCACATACCAGTCTCAACTTAAGCTTAATTTATTAATTGGGATAGTTAACCGCTTTTTTACATTTTTATCGATTGCTCAAACCGGGAAAACTAACAGGAGATTTGTATCTTTCCTGGAACCGAACGTTGCGAGTAATCGGTTAATCTCGACTTGTACTCAATCGATACAGCACGAAATTTCTACTTTAAAATAAAAATACACAAAGCTCTCTCTATTAGAATTAACGAACACAAAATCATTAATAACGCTCTACGGTGATTAACAGCACTTTGGCTTCCCAGAACTTTAATTCATTTACAGCATAGACTGCAGTTTAGCCAGATATTACAGAAACACGTTAACTGGTCTGTTATTTTCTCTCTAATAAAATTGTGTTTCGATTTAACACAAAGTATGAATAAAATTTTATAAATAAGATCAGTTTTTTTAGTTAAGATTTGTGCTTTTCCGACTTTAATACATTCATTATTTCTCAACTATTCTTAGCTGGATTTGCATAAAGATTTCTGACAGGCTAATTTATAGTCGTAATCTTGTTCCTCGTTGCAAGAAAATCACACTGCTGTATTTTCTGCAAACAAATGATAATTTAAAGTTCTTATTCTAAACTTTATTGCATAACAATAGCAATTACGGCAAACACGAATGACTAGTTAGTAATAACGCCAATGCACGATTGAGTTGTCCTATCATTATACAGAGTGTCCCATGCTTTAGAGCCGGTGCAAAATTAAATATTTCTAATTGATAAAGAAAAAAAATTTGCTAGTGGAAACAACAGAGGATTATATAGACTTCAATTTGATGCTTTAATATCGTTCAAAATTTTTAGCGTACTTCAGTGAGACCCTTAAAACCAAGAAAATCTTTTAAATGAATTGGAATCTTTTCTAATGATAAGATTCCTTGATTTTTTTGATGGTAATTGTGAAAATTGAATAATGTAAAAGTTAATAGATTTTGAGTAATTAACATTTTAATTTTGAAAATTGGAAATTCTGGTAATTCACTTACTTCTTAGTTGACGATAAAACGGAGGCTTCACTATGTAGCCCGTTTTCTTTTGTCAAGAAATTCTGGCCTTATCACCAATTACTGCAAACCCCCACATAAATTAGTTTTAGATTTACAATATTTAAATGTTAATTATTCAAGCCTTATCAACTCTATCATTATTTTCTTTTCACAAATACCACAGACAAAAATCAAAAAAAAATATCATGTAGAAAATATTCCAGTTCATTGAAATTTTTTCATCCTAAATTTCATTTTTAAGGTCTGATTGCCATACGCTAAAAATTTTATACAATATCAAAAGTGTATTTCATTCTCTATCGTTAACACTATCAAAATTCTTTTTTAATCAATTAGAAATATTTATTTTTGCGCCGGCCCTAAAACTTGGGACATCCTGTATAGTGTTTTCATTACAAACCTAGCCAGACAATAACATTTCAGTGAAAAGTTTTTAAGAAAATATGCCAGAACTTTATTATTACCACTGAATTACAAAAATATGGAGTTCATTTCAAAAAATTGTCAAATCCGTTTAACGCTACTGTGGCAAACCACTGAAGTGAAATATGACCCTAAAAGGGACGTTTAAATAAAATTATTTAGTGTGTAATGCGGGTTGGGTTCAATTCTAAACAAGTTTAATCAATCAAATCCCGCTCAGAAGAGAATAAAACTGTGCGTTTAAACTTGGTTAAAAAAATATAATAGTATCGAATGTTTATGTGATTGCAAAAGGTTAAACTTTAATTATGTTTCGTGCTTGTGCTGTTACACCTGGGGTTACTGTTTGTAGCTCTAGATTCCATCCCCTTTTCTGTTGTTAATGATAATACAACAACGAGTGTTCTGTTTATGAAATCACTAACACAAATTAAGCGAATTGAACAAAATCGTTTACACAACTTCGCCAAACCTTCGATAACTGAATTAACCTAAACCCTAAAAGTTTCTTCCCCTGAGAAAATTGATCAGGTTGTTAATAAACCTAAATAAACTTTGGTCTTTTTACGTAATATATCCCGAAGATCGATCTGTTGCAAAAGCTCGGCATGTGTGCAAATTTTCAAGGAAGTGGAGAAGTATAACTAGCAAGTAATTAAATTTTCCGGTAACCATTTTCTAACTTACTGTTGTTATTGTTAATTAAGGACAGACGGGTGATTCCAACACACTATTAATATCAACACAAATTGATGCACATTGTTCCTATCCTACCAGCAAAAATTTCAAATTCGGGCCGAAAAACCGGAAAATATCAAGAATTTAAACCCTTTTTATAGATCTTAAAGTTGAACTTTATTTGTTTAAAAACCAAATTACCGTTTTTGAACGTCTGACTTTTTTTCTTTCTTGTATAATTTGATTAACTTTTTCTGATGCCAAAATTACCAATTTGCATTTAAAAAGACAGAAAAAAGCTTTCAAGTAATTAAAAAGCCTCTACACCGACTCGATATATTTTTATCGGGCGTGGAATGTTTCGAGATCACAATTTTTTATAACTTAATGTGAGCGACTATGAAGAGATTAATTTGGCAATCTTTTTACAATGGAGCAGTATTTATATCTCGTCCCTTGCAATAACACTAAAAGATTTTCTTTTGAAAACGCTTTCTATTTTGTTTCCGTTTTGTAAACCTTTTTATTTAGACGCGTTTATCTTAGTCAATTTACTGCCTTTATAATTTACGGTTTTTTTTCATTCTGCTTAATTGGACGCGAAAGATATTTCGAACAATTGAGAAAACTTGGAGTAAAAAGTGCGTTTGCTGAGAATGAACACAAGTTTCTGGTTAAAATTTCAAAGCAAATTTATTTATTTGACAGGTTAAATGTGCAATTTTCTCTTAGAAGAATGAATGAGACTATTGCAGTAGTTTGGAAGCGATGTTATTTCCACCTGCACCTATTTAGACTGGAGTTTATGTTAGGATTTAGTTGCATTTTAGCACTCATCCCCTTAAATTTTTAATATCAGATCTTGTTGCAAAGTATTTCAATACACTTTGTGGCGTTTGATTGTGTCCTGCATTGTCGCAAACAAGAAAGGTCTTTGAATGAATGCGATCTGTTTCCGCTGTGACAGATTCAATCTCGGCAACATCACATGCAAAACAATGAAATACTGATTGGAAACTTCCTCTCGTCTTTCGTAATCTCACAAAATAATGAATACTTTGGATATTTCCACAAGTCGTTTCGAAGGGATTTGTTAAACTACATAGTATCACAATCGGAGGAAAACAGCGTTATAAATATTCTTTTCCGTTTCATTTTTGCTTGTTATACGTAACAATGTCTCGTGCTAGCCTTTTTTAAATAGTGCGAGATATTTTCCAAGTGGTAATCCATCACGCTAGAAAAATGCTAAATTTGCATACCGTTTTGTTTATCGTTTTTCGCATCGACGTTTTCAATAGGACATCTTGTCCCTTTCGTGTCACAAAATCTCACCAATCCATCATACTGGAAACATCAAATACTTTCCTGCCACAAAGAGCCAAGTATTAAAATTGCTTTGTTGAACATGGGCTTCTTTTGAGCTCTCCGTAACCTAATCAGCTTAATTACAAACAGACGGAATTAATTCTAAATCCATACATCTCATTTGGAAATGTAGCCTTTGTGTTGCACTTAATTGTTCAAATTCACTAAAATTTAAAGTGTCTAATTGGCTGGAAATCAATTCGGTAACAATGAGGTGCCGCGATTTCGGCGTTAACGCGAAAATGTAGCGAAAGTAAATGCCTTTTCTTTTCGCATGCACCATTACGTCATATTAGAACGTTTTATCGACTAACAACCTCAATCAAAATCCATTGTTAATAGCACCTTCAGAATCGAAGCTACGAGAAGACGCAAAATGCTTCCAACAATGCGCTTTATTATAATAGAAGGTAATAAACTGACGCAAAATGTATTATGAAAATGTGGAACGTCATCAGTGTTGACATTGCGGCCAAGCACCAAACTTTGTTGAAAATATTCACCATCAAATCTTTTTGAAAACAGAAGATAGATATTTTGATTTTTGCTTGTTTTTAGTAAAATATTCATGATTTGGGCTTGTAAAATATCTTTTCATTAACGAAAGGAGGCAACTGAAAGTACTCTTGTGAGTAGCGTGTTTTGCGGGTTTCTTTCCTTTTTCGCTAATATGGGAAATGAATGTTTTGTATTAGGCTGTTTGCATCAATGTACGCCCGCACAACTTTTGTGTAAATTATCAACTGGCACCTTTTTGTTGAGAGGAAATCTATGCAATATTGCATAATGACACATTATACACGGAGCTTTGCGTGTTGATAAAACGACACGAAATAAACTAGCGCACGATATTCTGGAAATGTGTTTGTGGCAGTTTTCAAATGGATGTTTTGATTCGGTGAATGCATCGATTTGTGATAAAATAATAGGGGCTGAGTTTAACCGATCTGATCAAAAAGAAAATATTTACATTGGTGTCTAAATAAGATTCACTTTTAGCACGTTATAAAACCCGGTCTGAAGTTTTTCCGACAAAAAATGTTTCGCCTGCTTCTTTGTTTCTAACAAAAGTTTAATTTCATGCCCTTCGGAGCGATATAAAATTGTTTAATAAAAAATTTGCCAAGTTCATAGCAGCTATTGTTATTTTTTGCCGCCTTTCGGGTAATATATTGTTTTAAAAACTTAATGACAAAGCGGGTTTGATATTTCATTTTTGCAAGTAGGTTTTGTCAAAGCTTCGCTTCGATACATGGGGCTTTTATCTCTTGCAAAGACCTTTCCGGTTGCTACAACTGCATGATTTTATTGTGAGTTGTTGCTTGAGAACGGATCATGTAAAATCCTATGCGGGGTGCTTTGTTGACGAAATAATAAAAGCATCAAACGAACTATTTTGTGTTTTATTGTTGTATGTACAAGATGATAATTACAAGTTGAGATTCTCTTTATTACACTGTAGAACGATTTTTATAAAAATATGAATAAAATGTCAGAATAGTTAACAATTTTCTGAAGTAATATTGCCAAGATTTGATTTTCCGAATTTGTGTGGTTCAACCAAGTTTGTCGTTGCATAAATCAAAAATAGTTTGCTCTAAGCGAGATATAGGTATTCTTATAGAACATGTTTTAAAATTTTACATAAAACATCGGGACATAAATCGTTCAAAGTTTCCAGTTGTATTGAAAGTTTTACACCGAGAGCGCAGCAAAGACAAACCATGGATGACTAACGTAAAAAAATCAGTAGGTAGAATAAAAATTTGATAGGGATAACAATAAATCTACATAATATCAACATGTAATAATAATTGTTACAATGAATAATTCTAGAATAATCTAAAGTGCTTTTGAGTCTATTAAATATCAAATGAATCACACTATATACAAGAAATGGACGTTCATCCCTTCGTCACATTCACAACCTTTTATTTTATTTTTACGTCCACTTTAGCACCAAAAATCAAGTCAAGTCCGTTTTCAGTCCATCGATATCACCACTTAATTGTTTTATTTACACCGATTTTAGCACTAGTTCGTTATGAGCGTATTGTTGATTGATATATTTCTTAAGGGCCACGTAATCATCTCACTGAGGTCACCACCAGCAGAGAAAATGTCGCCAAAAGGGCCATTTCCCGTCGCACGCCTGCTCGACTCGTCTGCATCGCTGCCGGGTGCTCCCCTGGAACAAATTACCCACATTTATTACCACCATAATAAATAAATTATGTCAAACGGACAAACGAGAAGAGCACGCGGACCTACCGCTCTTTTATTGACTGTTTTACCGACCTCGGATTTGCTGCCAACACATATTTATCGACCGGCAAACACCAACGCCCATTTTACCACACAAAAACTGAAAATCATTTCTCTGTCTTCCAGTGTATTATTTTTACAAGGTTTCTCCCGTTTCAGATTGATAACGCCTATTGACGGGTCCGCTTGGTATAATGGCATCAATTTTCAGCTTAAACACTTTCATAAATCCCCCGACTTTACTATTAAGCTGTCAATTCGGTCGCCATTTTCTCGTTTGAATCATGAAACCTAATTTCTATTTTGAAAACGCAAATTGGAAATTCCCGGCTGCACACAGTCTGATTAATTCCTAGATTAAAACTATCAATTCTCGCTTTGCACATTCGATTCTTGTCCCATGCGTAAAAAGGTTTCCGAGCGAGCAAGAGTTGATTTAAAATTAAAACAGTCAGTCGGTGATTACCATTGAGGACGTGGACGACGGCCGATGCGGGACTGGCGTTGGACGGCATGCAAGTGTAATTTCCGGAGTCGGAAAGTAGAGCTTTAGTGACCAGTAATTTGCTGGTGGTACCGGCCTCCGTTTTTTCCGTTTCGAGACTGATTCCCCCACGAGGCGAGTCGAAGTCCACCACGGAAGCACCATGGTACCAAAGGACCGACGAGGGAGGAGTCGAATGGACGTTCACGGAACACGTGAGCGATATCGTGCTGCCCTTCTTCACGTAGACTTCCGGCGGGCCGGATATCGTCGCTTGGGCATCTGCAAAAGTACATTTTACAAACACGAACAACAATCAAATATGAGAGTCCAATTATCGGAAAAAGGACCAAATTAAGGAGCAAAAAATTATTAACTGATCAATTTTTCCCCCAATTTATTTTGCTGTCAATTAATTGCTTAATTAGACCAGTTTGCTATACTTGAAATAAACATTAATATCAACTGAATTTAGCTTTCAAAACGCTGTGAACACTTAAAATTAAACATACAAAAGAAAACTTTGTTTATAATAATTTAAAAGTTCATTCGCTTTTAATAACACGAAACTAAACGAAATCACTACTCGTAATAGAATTTTAATATTAATTTATCGTATCCGCAAAAAATGGCTAAATGTGACAAGTAAAAGTTTTAGCTTTCAGCCATAAGGTAAAAATTCTGTTTTTGCACCTAAGCGTTTTTACTTTTAATATGGCAATTGCAAATATGTTGTCTCTTTCGCTGGATAAGGAGTTTCTGGATTTTTACATGCGCTTAATTTTAGTGCTACAAAGTTTTTAAATTCAAAATGTGTGAAAAACCTTTTTGACTATTTTTACATTTGATCCTGAAAACATTATTTTTCATCCGTAGATAAGCTGTTTGTTATAATACATTTATAGTTTTAATTTTTATGCTTTTAATTATTATTAAATCTTTTTTACTTTAAATTGTTATGCTTTAACTTAAACTATTAAATCTTTTGCAGCATTTTTTGGAGATGTTTAAAAATAAAATTATTGTTAGAGAAAATTGTTAAAATCAACATTAGCTCTATTAAATTTTATATCAACTTGTTTTTTAACAATTTATGGCACTTCCTTATGTTGAGCCAGTTATTTTTCAACGTTCAATAATTGTTCTTATTGTCAAAAAATTGATGGTTACCACCTGTCTTAGACTCAGCGCTTTAACCAATTAATAATAATTATTATTATAAAGTGGCTAGTATTTAAAACTCCATCAAACGTGCTTTTAGTTTAACAAATTAATTATCACTTTTGTATTGTACTATATCGCTATAAAATGTACGAGTATAATTGTCACAAATTTTCTATGTTTTAATATTTTATAATTTCGATTTATTGGGTGATTAATATTTTCGTAATTTAATAATATTGTTTATGACAAAATATGTTATTTCTGCTCTTATAGTTTTGATATTAAACAATATTGTCATATTACAATACTATTGATCATTGTTTCAAGTTTTAAATTAAAATTTCTTTAAATACTTCTATTGCTCATTGTCCCATTATACATACTTCTATTACTTTTCCATCAAAGTGAAACTGTAGCTAATTTCAAAGACAGTTTTTCAGTTTGTCAACGATATCAAATATCTGCAAATATCCATAATAAATGCAATTTCAATGCGTCTTTTCATGTCGCAAAATAAACCATCTAAATATAGTTTCATTCATTTCTATTTAAAGCCGTTTTTCTTTCCATACTTTTCAAGTTCTTCGTTTATGTAGGCGTTTCTTAATCAACAGTCACAATTAAACCAAGACCCGCCTTTCATCGATTCTGAGACACTTTAATAGAAACTAATTGACTTGAGTAATTAGGTTTCATTAAAATTTTGTGAAAACGTTCAAGTGTATAATTGATATTACGTCTGCTCTGAAATTTGAGGTTGTAGTACGGTTTTTTTGCTTTTACTGATATTTTAATCAAACAAAATACTGTCAACATGGTTACAGAATTAGTTACATTTTCAATCAATACCAAAACTCTGAGGACTCGTGGTAATAGTAATTTCAGTAGTGATAGTAGATAAATGGCTTGATAACTGATTAATGTCGTTTGTGCAAACTTGAGTCTATGTCAACATAACAGACAATTTAAGAAAACTCAAGCGTCACGTTTTTGTCAACATTTCCGACAAATGGAAAAAATTATAAAGTACGAACGTAAAGTTTTCTTTAAAAAGAAACGAATAATGAAAGTTTGAAGTTGAAATTCTGGCCCTGTTATGAATTTATTACGGCTGGAAATGGCAAATTACAAGTCACACTTATTTTTTTACATTTTTTGAAAAGTAAGACTTGGTTTAGTTCGAGTTTTGTGTATCTGGTCCCAGGTGTGTTTTAAGAACAGTATAGAACATATCGAATGTGGAATTGTATATTTCGGTAAAGTTTCAGAAAGAGCTTAAGCACATTAGTGTGTTTCAGGTATTGAATATGTTGGTTTGAAAAGAATTTGATTATAAAATCAATTTGAAGCGAAGCTAGTAAAGAGAAAAGCTCGGTACGTAAACTTAACGCCGCGTAGTAAATCAGTCATCTAATTAGGCCTCTTGTCCTTACCGAAATATAATTAATTAAACAAGAGAGTGGATCGTATTACCTTAAAAGATAATGGGTAAACAGTAATAAATTACATGCAGAAATGGCTACGGATAACGACTAAGAGAGAGTTTGAGATGGATGAAAAGTGAGGCCGTGTGTAATAAATCATATGCGATAGTGCGATGCGTGACAGGGATGAAGAAGGTACCTTTGGAGCGAGGGTCCGGATGTGTTGCTGCAAGAGAGGACGCGTCTGGAACAAAGGAACAAAAACACTAATATGTCCTGGTTGCTTCCCACTGATTGCTATTAGTAGGCAGAGCACAGCGGCATGCATGCGACAATTGTTTAAAGGCCTCGTTCTAAGCAAAAAACATCGATAAGGGAAACGGAGATAACGATACGGTTTTGCTGCCATATATTACGCCCGTCTCAAGATCTACAGACAAATTCCTGACGAGATTAAAGACGTTTTTGCCCCACAACGATCCTACACCTGAACGCGAAAACGACCGATTTTTTACTAATTCTAACGCAAAATCACCCCAATTTAACGAAAAATCTAATGTAAGCTAAAAAGCCAAAAGAAAAAGAAAAAATGGAAAAGATCTGACTGTATATTTTGACTATATCAAGTGAAAAACTTTTTGCAACAATTAAAATCTTTTTTTAACAAAAATGTCTAACATTATTATCAAATTCATTTATGGTAATTTTAATAAATACAGTCGGCAGTTTTAGTTTTTGATTTAATTTTAATTAATTTTTTTAATGTCATTAAAGTAAGCAAAGAAAAATCGACTAAGAAAATTTCAAAACGAAAACATAAAAACGGGGACAAATTCGGTACCGATAACAGTTTTTGGTTTGGAAACGAAAAGTGTGCAAGTGAAAGTCAGAAAAATAAAATTTACACTCAATTTGTAATGAAGGTTTGCTAAAGATTCTCTAATTTTTAGGAAGAAATTGACGAAAATACCAAATAAACATGAATGAGAAAGGACGCAATTAAACTAGTGTGTCTAATTGCACTACTTTTTTGAGGAAAGAATTAAAAAAGTAACAATTTTGAAAAAGAATTGAGAACATGGATCAACTTTGAGCTTATTTCAATAAATCACACAAAAATGATTGCTAATCTTCAAAATACCTGCTTGTATATTTTGCAAAATAATTTTTTTTTCTAAGTTCTGGTAGTAAGAAGCACATTTTTGCCTGTACACTGTACATTTCAGTGTGTTGCTATCAGTATTATTAGCAATGAATTCTGTTTTTAGACATTAGGCAGTGATGTCTGACTTCAGATATTCGATTATGAAAAGAGCAAACATGCACACAAAATTTTAAAGTTAAAATTCAATACAAAAACAACCATATTTTTAAAACAAAATAACAAAACGAAAAGCTTTTTGATTTGCTTTGTGGCTATGGATAAGCTACTATAAATTTTTTCACTAAAATTGTATTTTGGTGATTTCCATTAAAAAAAAAACAGATTTTACTCTTTCTGATATATTTGTTTTTGTTTACTCTTAATACCATATATACCATATTCATAAATAGAAATAATGGGAGACTAACACCGAATGTAAGCATTGTGGGTGCTGGAATTTGTGCTAGTTATATTTTAAATGAAAAAAAATAATATTATGAAAAAATAGTTTATTTACAGCTGTTGCGGCTTATTGTAATAATTTTTCACCTTTGCTTGTTTCTTTTTGTAACAAACAATAAATTCAAATGTTTTGGAAGAGTGTTACCAAAATAATTCCTAGTGTTTGATTTTTGATTTGCGAAAAAAACGGCTTGGTTATCGACTTACTTCCCACCTGCTCACAAATACAAAAGCCTTCTTTGCTTATGGGCTCAGAAATCTATAAGATATCCTCTGAAAAAACACGCTAAAAAAGACATTAAAACGTTGTCTGTTTTTATAAAGACACAAGATAAATATCCGAGTATATTAAAATTCCTCTTTCCCACTTTATAAGAATTTTGGTATGGTTTTGCTTGCTTTTACTCGTAGAAACATACCATCTGCGATCTCTCTTACTTTTCATTTATTCCAGATCCAATCTAACCTTTAGAAACTTCATTTTATACTGAGTGAATTATGTTTGCTTATCTTAGAGTAATTACTCACGTACGTAAATGAACACGACAAGAACGTGGTTTTTATGATTAGTGAAACATGTTTAGAAACGTAGACAACAAATATGTATCTGTTGAATATAATGGAGTTGATTCGCTGTGATTAGTATTCCGAACAAGTAGGGAAAACATGTCAAATGAACTAAGTTTCGACTTTGATATTTCAGATAATATTATTAAATGTTTGCTGAAATTGTTGATTAACGTATGAAACTTATGTGAAGCGAAACTTATAGTAAAAGCATTTATTAAATATTTAACACGTCGCTTTATAAAAATTTAATATAGTTATTAAATTTGGAGAGTAATAGGTGACATATTAAACAAAGGTCACCTGTCACTGCTTAAATATTAAACACGTAACTTGTCCTCAATTTATGACTGGTTTGAATTAAAAATGAGTGACTTTATAATTTGGTAAAACACCTAAAGCTGTTTAATCAAGCAACTAATTGCACCCCGCATTTGGTGGAACTGATTGTCTCCTTCTGCCCAATTAAGTGTGACCATTTCTCGTCCCCATAAAACATAGTCTTGCGAATGTGTGACATTTACAGCGTGAATATTTCCGCTTAGTTGGGTAGAAGGAGCCGTTATCTGGTCGTTTATTTTTGGTGGTGCATAATATGGCGAGTGAGTGTTTCTTACCCTCGACGTTCAACGTGATGGCGAGATTAATCTTAGGCTCCGTGTTCACCTGACACTCGTAGACGCCGGCGTCGCGTTTCTGCACGTAAGCAATGCGCAGATCCCAGTCGTCGCTGTGCTCCGGATGGCGGACGCTGAAACGAGCGTCTCCGGTGTATGTGTGGATGTCAGAGGTCAGGATGTGGAGGTCGCGTTTACGCATCCAGGAGACCTGAAACCGAACGATGAGTTCCACGAAAGGAGGGCAATGGGAAATGACACTAGAACTGATCGATAAGAGCCGATAAGTGGGGCTTTTCATGTAGTTTTGCGACGATTACGCAGAAAATCAACGGAGGGATTTTCGCTAACGCGGAGGAACCAGATTAGGAAAGGCCGTTTACCAAATTGACCCAATAGCAAAACAATAACTTTCAAAATGTTCTTCAAATTACCTTAATTACTATGTTATTATCAATTAATAAATTAAAACATATTTCTCTTGATTTACTACACTCTGGCAAATTTTGGAGACGTCTCATTTATCTTTTTGCATGTAACGCGTTAATAGGCATAAATAAAACAAGCCTAGATTTGAATTTTAATTACTGCGTACAATTACGCATTAAATTTAGCTTGTATTTTTTATTTGTGGTGTAAACTGACTAAAATGTCTAAAACTTCTGAAGGTTTTTTCCAGTATAAAAGCTCTACGTCGAATGCTGTTTAGTTTGGAGTTGTCGATGCAGTGCTTTTCAAATTTATTCTGCATCCGCTGACGCAAAAGCTGCTTATCAATAAGCTTTTAAACAACAAGCAAACCAAAAACCGGAGAAATATTGTGCTTAAATCGCAGTGGTGACATTATTTTGCATAGTCTACTTTCAAGAGCAAAATAGAGATTTAAAGATGTATTTGTTTACTTTCGTCGAGTAATAAACTCCCCAACTTGACTAAAATTTCATTAATGTCAGTTTTGATCAGTTTAAAAGTGGGTGCAGGGATGCATTTTGGATGATGTTGTAGACATCACAAGGTCCATTTAACTTCCGTAAAATAGTTTAAGTTTGATGAAGATGTTCTTTGACCCTTCAAGGGCTATTATAGGTTCATTAAGGAAACAGCCTTAATCGACAATGAAATTCACAAACTTTGCTGACCTGATATGAACTTGCACAATAGAGGAATTATTGAACATATCGAAAGAAAGGGATAAATGGGGTTAAACTAGTTGTGTGCAGTAGAGTAAATTAAGTAAAATAGTCTATTAAAAGTTTCTATATAATAAAACAGATTTAGATGCAGCACGCAAAACTTTTCATAATAGAACAAAACTTCGAAACTTGGGCTTTTAACAAAATGATTTCATTAAAATCGCGTTTGTTTCTCTAACTAATAACTAATATAACGAGCTTTTAATTTTCAAGATAACAAAATCTAGTCTAGACTTGTTCCAAGTGAAAATCACATTAGGACGTTTGTATACCGAGACATCATAAAGCGCCCCAATTTATATTTCAATTTTGTCTTAGCTGGTTGTAAACGTAGGAAAGGTATAATAAAGTTGTTATCTTATAATTAAATCTACCATTTGCGTAGCGAACAGATTAAATTTTTAAATACATTTTCGTAGGAAAAATAATTTTTAGGAAACAAAGGATTGTGCATTGCCTCGTAACATTTAAAACGAAATTACGAAAAATGTAAATGCATCAGCGGCGTTGAATGTTTATTTTTCATTTAAAATTGTATTTTTTCGTGCTTGTTGTTGGCATGTGAACAGACTTCGCAGCCGGAAAACGACCATTTGTGACTTCGACCGAATTTCGCGGTTGCTTGTTTGTCAACTTTTATGGCTCCGAATTTACTTAAACCAACAAAACGAGATCACCCTAATTAACATCGCCGACTTTTGACGCATTTTTCGTGTGTTTTGGTTCCTTGATCGAGATATCAGCAGAGGGGCCTTATAATTAGCAGGTGCCAGGATAAAGGCGGGTTGAGTCTCCTGCTGTTAAATGCGGGATAAGTTTAGTCGAGCGTTGTTTCAGGCTGTGCAAGCATGATTAAAAGTAAAAGCAGATAACGTTAACGTTGTACAAAGAAGAGTAGAGACGGCGCTATAAAGTTGCAAGATGCAAATGGGACCACAGAGGGCTTGCCGTTAACAAGCAACCGGCAAACACCCACATCAAGTTGGCAATGCAAATAAGCACACATGTCCGAGCTTTGCCTCAGATTGATTGTGTTTGTATGCTAAAACCACGTAAAAACAACCATATTTGGACAGAACTGAACTGTCAGAATGAAAAATGCCCATACCTTCAACAGTATATTTGTAACCAGAAACGTTTTATTTTCCGCACATCCAAGAACAAAAAGCAATTTTAAGCTCACACGAGTGTAAATCACAAAGGGTGAGACTCATCCAGCAATTGAAACTTTCCAAATTTGCTTTTTTGATGAGTTTTCTTATCTTATTATTCGGACTATATTGAATTTCAAGACGGGGTATTCTTGTATATTTCCGGTACAACGAGAGAACGCTACTAGGATAATTGTACTGCACAAATACACACCGAGGACGACTTAACAAGCATCAACCCTCTGGCTATACAAGCTAGATACACAGGTTAAGTGCCAAGCTCCAGAAAATAGGATACAACCCCAAATTCAGGTGAAGAGCAAAATTTAAATCACCGAAAATGTTTATAAAACTGCCAGATTGAAGTACTTAAACCCGCTCGACAGAGTAATTAGTAAAATAACTAATTAATTAGTTCTTTTCGGACTTTTCCGTTTCATTTGCGACGTTAACTCAAGCGCAAATGTAATAAACAACCATTATGTTTACGTTTAATAAGTTTCAACTTTTCACGTCAGTTTCCCCTAGTTGGCAAATAGCAACAATAGTTCTTTAACTAACTTAGCATGAACTACCTGGAGCCTAACGAGTGACTATGAAACTGTAATAAGAAGCATCCGACTATAAGAACTAGTTAAAATGTCAAAGTGAATAAAGTTTTATGAAGATGTTGCTTGCAGTTCACCTAATTTTATTATTTAAACAAAGTTGCCATTTCGTAGACATGACTTTAGAAATATAACTTCAAGAAATTTACTGGAGTAATTATCGTTTGCTGAAAATTCTAGTCACAAATTTTATTTATTAACTGTTAGCAACTTTGTAACCCAATACCGTCTTCGTTATTGAGGCCAAATTTGCAAATATTTAAAGTTTTCAGTGTCGTTAAAATGATACGTCTGATATCCGATCCTGGAAACCTTTTAAAAAAAGGAAATTCGATTTTCTTTCAAACTTTAATAATTGCACCATCTGCTACTTCTTTACAAACTTCTTAAACTTTTCCTATGGCTCAATTAAAATTAATTGTTTTATTAAATTTTTAAATAGTCGGTTTTGTTTTAGATTAAATGATTTAAAGCTGATTCAATTAACCTGAGTTTACTTGAAATTCGTAAACAGGATTGATTATTGATTGAAACAAAAAGAAAAACTTTATTTAAGAAGAACAAAATAAAGGTTTCAAGATAAATTAAGAGACAACTGTTGTTTTCTTAGCTGTATTTTTGTTGATTTTTATCAAGTGGAAAGCGACTTACAGATAATAACTGGAGGATGTCAGTGAGTGTGTATTTTTTATGTTCGGTTATTGGATTCTTTTACGTCAAATAAAATTGTCGACATGATAGATTACATTGATCTGGAAAAAAAAAGACTTAGCTGAAAATAATTTGTTGTGTAGTTTTAAAAAAGAAATAATTAGAGTTGGAGCAACTTTTTCTGGTATTATCAAAAGCTTAGAACAAAGTTGAAATACTTTCGTGAACAATAGTAGTAACAAATCTAGGGTTATACCAGCTAGGCACACAACAAGTTAGGTCGCAAGCCCCTGAAAATAGGATTTTATACCGTAATCCAGGTGCAGCCGACCCAATTTTATTCATTACAACTTTCGAATAAACTCGGTTTGGGTCTGAAAGTTATTTCGAACAAAATTAGAAATAAACATAAAAAGGCAAATTTTGGGCGCTTGACAATTTCCCGAAAATAAGTGGCTAATAGGTAAGACGTTATACGTCATGAATATTTTAATAGAAAGAGGGTGGAGTAATTCAAGGGATGCTCGGTGAACTATAAAAAGCAGCGCAAGAGAATACTTAAGGTTGTAGCGAATGTTTGCGGCGTACGAGGTGACATGAAATACACGGAATATATTTTCAACAAGGAAAATGAAACACATTTCGCGAAGCACTTTCATCTTGGAAAGCTTGTTTCATGTTGTAATCATTCAAATATAAATTTTTCCCCCTGCTTCAAAATCATTACATCCAATCATCTTCTATTCGCTTTAATTAAAATACTTCTATCATACGTCCATTTATCGTTAAATTTGGCGTTAAAACCACCGGATCATGAAATCGAATCCGCTAACTCAATTAGACTTAAAATCCACCTCGAAGGAAAACGCATCTTCCTCCTCCTCGAAATACTGTTTCCATTTTCTGACAATGCTGACAAGTGCCCTCTGATATTTTCATTGCTACGTTTTTGCGTGATCTTGATCCGGATTATGCTCTGGAGTGGTTTTAACTTAGCGCATGATACTTACGGTAAATTGCTTCCGATAAAATGCCTTCCTCGTTCGTGCTTTTTCACTAAGACGTGCAAATTTAAAACATGTCCCATAGGCCCTGCCGTGGTTTAAACTCATTATCGGCGACGGGCCAAGATTCTCAAACTCTTTCAAACAATCGATACATTTTTCCATAAAACACAAAGTTTGCGTTCTTTATTGCTGCTGGGTTAGTCTATTCAATTTGCAGTTTTACGATTTTTTGTCACTTCAAGTTTCACTAAACCGAAATAGGGTTTGGGCCCCTTTGAAATAAAAAATTGATTCAAAAATAAATGCTGGTTTATTAGATAACTCCATTAGGAATGTAACATGTACAAAGCTGTAATGATAATAAAAAATATTTCAGAAAAGCTGTAAAAGTTTATTGTGAACATAACAAGTAGCAATGAAATATTTTATATTTCCATTATACCCTTTTGTTTTGAAAATTATAAATCTCCTAAACCTGTTTAATAACTTAGTACTTATAAAAAATGTAAATCTTGAAGGATATTTTGTCAGACTTTATTGCAAGGAATGTAATAAATAATTTCCAGAAAGCCATTAGAATTTCCGAGATAACATTTCAACATTTTGCATTTTTGTTGCATCTAAATTAAAACTTTACAAAAAGTTGTTACTTTTTGTTTTTTAAACTATGTATAATTCTAGAAATTATTCAAATTGTAAAAAACATCTTTTTGGAAGAAAATCCGATTTAAGATTATGTGCTTTACGAAGTTTCATTATTTTACCTTTACTTTAAGGTATTAGAAGCAAAAAGTTGTATTAGCTTAAACTTCTTAAAAGCAGCACTACTTTAAAAATTTATTGCAGGTCGTTAGCTAATTTGGTGTGCTTCATATTTCTCGCTTCACTAATCTAGCTTTAATGAAATTCTTTTTGTTATAATTTTTTGTAATTTTGCTCGTAATATTTGCTTCAAGTAAGAATCTCTAAAAAGCCAAGAACCTGCCACAGGTCTGTATAGCTGTCAGCACTTTCCGTGAAATCTATTTTCCGGAATCGCGTGAAATGATGTAGGAAATTGCAATATGTGTTTATCTGTGTCTGTTAATGCGTTATATGTGACCATAATTAGATAATATTAATCTTGATTATAACATGAATCTGTCTCACGGCCCTAATAAAGGAATCAGATGCGATAAATTAGGATTCAGGTCCATGGGACAGAACTAAATCTCGATAATCTAACAAAGTTATATTGACCTTTCACTAATCCTCCTTTACCCACACTGCAGATCCATGTAACACGTTTCTTAGTTTATGCAGACAGGGAATTGGGTCATGCTATCCGTCACAAGGGATACACATGCCTAACCAGAAACTATTATTATAATGGCGTCCCTTAATAGAACGAGCTTTTGTGTTTTAAGCTCTCTAAACTGACGATTTTTAAAAATGAGGAGTAAAATAGACACATATGTCGAGATGCCAATTGCAGTCAGTGCAATGCTACACTCATTGTGTTCAAAGGAAACGACACTCGAGGGAAATATGTTATCTGCAAATATGCCCGGAAAATGTGTATATGTATTTCCAACATTCTCAATAGCGTGTTTTCACTTTGAGAAATATATTACACCTGAATTATGACAAGTTCAATAATGTTAATGGTATTTGAAGAAACCCACATTAATCAAATCATATCGAAAAGTTAAATTTGAACTAGCGTAGCTAATTATAAGATAATTAACACGTGTCATCGCTCTTTACTTGGATGTCTACACTCAAATGATTCCGTAAAGGATATAGAACCGTGGGGCGTCTTGAGTAATTTTCTACGGCTTTCCTTACCTGTATTACCGCCACTTGACCGGTTTAATTAACCTAACGATGCCGAGGAGATTAATCCAGGCTTGTAGAACTAACCTAGCAAATGTTGCTTTAACTCAAAAATATTAACACATACGTATTGAGCGACAAGTGACTTCCTTTATACCAAAGGCACAAACGCAAAACCGCACTTTCTAAGGGGCTCTAGTGTCAATTTCCAAGACAAGTCGTCAACAAAGCAATAGAGATATGGATTGCTTACTCACCCTTCTGTCTCCTGGATGTTTGACTCGACAATTGAGCAAAGCTGACTGGCCCACGACGGCGGTGACGTTTCTAGGGCCGACGTCATCGAAATATGGCCTTTGCACGATAGGTTTCACAGATTCCACAAACCGAGACTTGGAACTTTCCGAGACTCCCACAAGGGCACCTGTAACTAAACGGAGACTACTAATTAGGTGCAAATATTACCGCACTTTTACAACTAGTCAAATATGTAATCATGAGGGACCGGCGTTTGTGTTTCAATTTCGACTTTCAGACAGACTGTAATTAAAGAGGGGCGCACGATGACGCCAGGGAGAAATTTCAACAAACGGCAGTGGGAGATGTAGTCGAAATGGTGCCAGACATTGGCTAAAAGCTTTCACGGTAAAATAAAAAGGTTAAGCCCTGCAAAAAACATAAAACTACGTTGTTTAATTGTTTGATAATTAAGCAGTGTTAGATGTAAATAAAATTAGTTTTTATTTTTGTATCTATGAGTAGGGAGGGTTCACTGTCAAAAAATTCAAAGTAAAAACCAATGTTCATAAAATATTTAAGTCCAAAATACGTGTTAAACAAATTATTTATACAGTAAATATAAAAAATGCAAAATCGGAAAATACCAAATCACTTTTGTGTAAAATGTTCGTTGCTAAAACATGTTTAAACAAATAAAATAGAAAGCAAAATAATTTTATCCTAAAAATTTCATTGCTAAAATGTTCAAAAAAAAAGTGAGAAACAGGTTCCCAGAAGCGAAAGGAGATACTTAACACGCCCAATCTCGAACGTCACATTTCCAGACTCAGTTTTTAGGATATTGGCAAGGGCCCCTGCGCAAGAATAATTAGCAAGAGCTGGAAGCAGTGCGCACATCGTGATAAGTCAGTTTGATGCGCAGACGTTCACGCTTTCGCCACTCTTTCCACTGCTGTGCTCCTACTACCACGATTTTGTTTTTGAACGCTTTGCGATATTCCCGTTTTGCTTGGAGACATTTTACTTGAAAATGTTTTGCCCAATTTTAGTTTTGCGTGCGTACTTTTTGTTAATGAACATTTCTCAATTTAAACCTTTTATTAAGAGAAGTTTTGAATTAAATTTTTTTGAAAATATTTGGTTTTATGTTTGAACATTTTAAGAAAAATACAATTTATTTACAAACTTTTTGCGATCACACGGGCTCTCATGAATAGTACTTGTATATTAAATTTGGTGGATGCGCCTGGCTAATACTTACATAGCTTTATTTTCAAAAAGTATAATCTTGTTGTCTGAAAGTAGTAGCTCGTTTTATATCAAAAAATATGTATTTTTTTGCTACTTGGTAAAGAAATGCAAAAAACACTTTATAATCCAACTTAAGAAATAAATGTTAAAAATTGGTGGATGCGCCGGGCAAAAATATTTTTAAATGTATTATAAACTATATAAAATTAAATAAAATTACATAAAATTACTATTTGGTATTTAAAGTCAAACATCAGATTAGATGGATAATACAATATCAGTTTAAATAAAAGATTATGACAGGTCAAATAAAGGAAAAAAAATAAAAAAAAAATTCTTTAATAATGTTGTCAATTATTAGTGTTTTAATTTTTATTACAACTCTTTTCTACACTCAGGATATCATATTTTTAAAAAACTGATTTTACGTAAAATATGTAAAAGGATTTTTTTTATATTAATTACCGTAGTCTCGACAATTCGAACTTCCGGTTAATCCTGACGAAACGTACCGAGCTCAAGTAGCAGTTTAATTGATTTGAAAAAATCTATTTTAATAGTTTTACCCATCTAAAACTCCTTTTATAGCTCATTCAAGACTTTACTGTATAGTGAATACTAATTATCAGTATGGTAAAAAATTAGGATATTTGTACTAGCGGTATGCTATAAAAACAGCAGAATTTCAAGCTATTTATATCATAAATAACGAAGAGTAAATAAAATTCTGAGTCAATCCTACAGATTTAATGAAAGTTTAATTTACATATAGGTAGGTGTCAAAGCGCTTTTGAGAACTTTGTCTCATCATCAGTGCCTGATTACTAATGTAAAAAAACGTAATTACAAAAACGAAAAAAAGAGGATAAGAAAACTTACCAAAATCCTTTGTCAAATTTGTTGTAGAATCTAAAAATTAATTTTAAATACCAGTTTTAAATTTTTGATCGTAAACAATCGTTTTATTTTTAAACGGTATATTGTAAACAAAACAACAGTTTACTCGCCTGGTTTATTTGTAATGTTTTTTTTTTAGCTTTTTTAAAGCTACTAAAGCTGGAGAACAATTTGTAAAATTCATTAAAATTTGATCATACTCTTGCAGTTGAAAAAAGAACAAACGCTTTGACATATTGGAGTCTACTCAATTTTTCTATATTTAAAATTAAATTTCTCCTTTTTGAGCCCCGACTATTGCCAAGTCAATTCGTTTTGCTCAGCGATTGCAAAACACGCATTTACGATTTGTAGTAAAAAAGTAATTTCCGAATCGTGTTTTTTGATAGTTTGTAGTTTATAAGCCGTAAAGAATTAATTGCGTGTTATAGATAAAAAAACCGGGTTAGAGTTCCGTTTGTTAGAGTGCCGGCACTGCCGCATTCCATAATGGAAGAGGAAAGGATTTAGGATGAGAACTTTACATGGCAGTTCATAAATAAGTAATCAAGGTTTAAGCATGTGGGCTTGCATAATTAAATGTCGTAGATGTTGGAGGAGAGCAAAGTCTCTGTATTCAACAATGAAACATTTTCCTGGTTTCTCGCAAGTTTTGATGTACGAATTTCCGCGTTGTTGCAGCTCCGACCTAGTTTTCTCACTGTCTTGTGTCGAAGGGTAGGTGAAATAAATTACAGAAATTTAAAAAAATTATAAACTAGCAGGATTTTTAGCTTGATATAGAACTGGTGTCTGTCTTAATAACATTGAAAAATCTGGCAAAATTATGACGTCTAATTATATTCAAATGATACTGGAATGGCCGGACATAAATTGTACATTTTAATGGATGTGACAGTGGGGTAAAAAAGAGCGTAAAAAATTCGTAACAATAAATCGTTTCATGTGAAGTAATTACTGAGTCAATTTGCATAATAAAAACCTATTTGGGCTGAATTTCCCTTTTATTGTTTTGAGATTTTTTGGCCTTGGTAGGAGAGAATAGTTGCGTTAAACGAGCTTTCAATCTGTTTTTCAACTAAACAAAAATTTAATTATTGTTTGTGTTCCGAAAGCTTTTATCGGAATCTGTTAAATGGAAATTGTTTCGAATGATTTCCTCGGGAAAAGAGTAGTAGTATCCATCAAGACATATTAAAATGTTTCTCTTGAAACAGCTAAACATCCATTAAGCATTATTAAGCCCTCAAAATAATATTATTCCAAAAGTTTTTCTCGTACAAAACTTTATGTCACGACCCGGTTATGTATCATGGGAAATATGTAAATTCGGATCTCTATGTGGTTTTATCTCATTTATGCTGATCCTGATTTACATCAGTCTTACATCAAGACGTAGAATAGAACTATTGCAAACAAAGTGGGTATATTAGAAGATTGTGGTAAATTTCATGAGAGAAAACAGACGTTGCTGGTTTAACATGATGAAGATATATACAAAGGAAATTAGCAGATGTATTACTATGCATACATTACACGTTACCTGCCCGCAAAGTGCATCTAAGTGTATGAGAGGTGACCGACCTCAAACTTTTCACATAAATTTCATTCAAACACATTCAAGGCCTCAGATGCATTTTTCACTTACTACATATTTTCCATCTTCTTCGAAGAAAATACAACTGTTTTTGAGCAAAGAAGCAACCAAAAGTTTCTCAACAAGATTTTGGTTTCTCACAAATAAAGTAGTTTTGTGTTTTTGCAAGTTTAAATTCAGGAAAATTTGCTTTTGAGCAACGTCCATTTTCCTAGTTAGAGAAATCAAAAGATGTAATAATTGGCATCCTTGTATCTGACTCATCTCTTAATGTTGTTTGAAAAGAGCAATTTTCGTGATTAATGACATTACTATTTACGGCCTTGTTCGACCTAATTCGAGGAAAATGTCGCTGTTTGAAAATACATTTAAACCCCGCCCACATTTGTTAGCTTCCAAGGTTTGCATTATAAAGCCTTGGTGTTATAAATTTATAAAGTTGGCGCTAGAACGGAAGTAAATCATAGATCAAAAGCTCCAGTAATTTTCAATAAAATATCGCCGACTGAAAGAATAAACCTGAAAAATTACAAGTCTTGGGTAATATCATCGTGCTTTTTTTCTTCACCAACACCACCTGCTACTAATCTAATAAACTGCGTTTCATGAAAAATTACAATGTGAAAATGTGTAATTAGTGCAACTAACATTAACGCCCTTGTTCTACAGTCGCAACCCACTTCTATAAATGTCACAATAAAGAAAACGCAACATTTGTCGTTTTGCCATAAATAACGCTTTTTCCTTGATTTTTTTTCGACATTATAAATGTTGCCGTAACATGCAAAGACAAATTTCTGTGCTTTGCAAACATCTAGAATTACTTTCCAGAAATGCGTAATTAGTTCTATTCAGGTTTTCAGATCTTTTCGGTCGGCAATTAACGTTGAAAAGCCTGATAAGTTGGCAAACATCGTTTATGTGGTTATTTTTTTTATTTAGGCCTGAAGTTATAAACTTTTATCGAGAACGGATTCTTAAGCAGCCAGAAATTTTCTAATCAGGTTCGACCCTTTTCCCCGTAACACGTAGCAAATTGGCTCGTAAAACTTTTTTCTCTTGTAAGTGGTGTGAGAGCCATTTTTCTTGATAATACTGTCCTTCCTTAATTATAGCACGATTTACATAACTTTTTTTCAGCATATTTAAAATAAAACGACACGTTAAAGTCATAAAGTTGCGTAAAAACCTTCTCGACATAAAATTCATATATCACTGACAGTGTGTGGGTAGTTAAAAACGCATTACCCCAAAGATAAATGAGCGAATATCTTGCGCAAAATTTATAAACAATTCATGCTTATTAAATTTGAATTGTGATGTTCTGTTTTATCCAATTTTTTTTTGAAATGGAGCACCGCTCCGGATATAATAATTGTCGACTATAAAAGGCACATAAAACGACAGTCACGAATGAAAGATGTTGTAATTTCAGGATTCCATGA